GTGAAATCTGCTTATTCCCTGCATGCTGATTGGGTCCCCACCGCCAGACACATCTACTCTGGTACGTGTTTGTGTAATAAATTTTTATTTATTTCTAGTTAATACATACCTTGAAGAACACCAAGGAATCTCCATCTCCCGACTGCAGAGCAGGCGATCTCTTTTAATAAATTGTCACAACAATAATAACAACTATACAGCCTGATAAAGATAAATCCAAGTGATGCCCTGACACCCTCTCTGGGCCCCGCAAGCCTCTGACTTGTCATCAGATGCCGCCATGCAGTCTGCTCAGAAATACCCTCCTGGAGCCAAGACAGCCTTTGAAGGGAGAGCTGGACTGACCTGCTGTTAAAAACGCTGACTCACAGCATTTGTCCATTTCTCTGGTGTATATGCTCCCGTCATGGCCAAGTTTAAGGACCAATGTGAGGCCCTGGTGCAGTCAGGAAGTGATGCACAGAATTGACTTTCACAAACCAGGAAAGCCAGAGGGGGACCCCTCTTTTTGCACTCTGAGAGCCCCAGCCTGTGCTGGAGTTTCCTTGCATTTGATGTGTGGGGATCATCCCTACTCAGTGGTGTGGCACAGTTTCCGTGAATGTCAGTCATGGGAGAGAATAGTGGACACACAGAATTCCAATAGGCTCTCTGTAGGAGTGCTAATTACATCAATCAATTAGAAAGAAGACTGACTTACCCAGTAAAGTAAGAGACACCTGGCACTGATCATAAGTATATACTGTAAAGGAAATGTGTGCATGTGCACTGGGACCCATTCACAAGAACCCTGGTAAGAGAGAATCAGCTCCCCTTTCCTGTGTCAGAGGCCCTCGTCTGCCAGGCCGTGGATCTGTCTGTCTGGTTCTCTCTGTTCTCCTCACAGGCGCAGAACCGGACAAGCAGGCTGGGCCCGCCTGGGTCCCCAGGGGCCCCACCTGTATTTCCGGAGGGGAGGGGTGTGGCCTGCTGGGGCACCTGCCCAGACCTGGTCCTCGGGCGAGTCCCCACACCCCGGAAAACATCAACAAGTGAACCGCTATCATGAACAAAACAGCTCTGGGAGACCTTAACGTCCACTTAGGAAGTTTTAGCAACCGTGGAACGAAAAAATCTGAGAATCGCTGCACAAGAAGAGATGGAAAACAACATCCCTTGGCAGCGTCATCCCATCCCCTGAGCGAGCACTGAACCGCCAAGAAGGAACTTCACAGCTAGAAAGAGCTCATCTCACCGGGGAAGGAAGAGGAGGGGCCCTGTGCGCGGACCCCAAGACGTCACCCAGCCCAAACCGGCAAAGCGGAGATGTGTTGAGCCCCATGGGAACAAGGAAGAAAAGCAGAAGCTCTTGCTGGCAGACGTGCTCTCAGCAGATTTTGCCACCAGTGAACACAAGGCCCAGTACAGCTGCCACAGCCTCTGCAGGTCTTGCCAGCTTTTGCCCAGGTGCTCGCATTCACTGACACCAGCTTTCTGAGTCTCTCCCTGCCCCTGCTGGTGCCCGGGAGCCATGCTAGCAGCCACATCAGGCTTCTGTAGCCGTGTGAGTGCAGGACGCCAGCCAAGACTCCCTGGCACCCCCTGCACTGTGCCCACACTAAGGGTCAGCCTCTCCAGCTGGGACCCGACTTCTGTCTCTGGCCTCCGCTGAGACAGGGCAGCATTAGGAAAGCGCACCCCCAGCTCCAGATGCCGCTGCTGCCCGCTCCAGGCCTGAGCTACAGGACCCGGGGGCACTGCTTAAGACCCCAAGAGCCCTCACAGCCCCCACAGACCGCCCCCACCTCACCCAATTAAGGACCACACAGTCATTAATGCCATGCACCCAAGTAGGTGAGCCAAAGAGACATCACCACCACCACCCACATCACCCCCAAACAAAATATAAATACTGCACTACTAGACCCAGGGTCACTTTCACCCACGGGAAAAAGGCTTCCTTCCCCAAGCTAGCAAAGGAAGATAAACAAAATTGACAGACCTTTATCTGGGAAATTGCTTTCTCAGAAATAAATGAGAGGACTCAAATAAATAAAATCAGAAATGAGAGAGGATACTTTATAAGTGATACCACAGAAACCCACAGGATCATGAAAAACTACCGTAAACACTTACACATGAAGAAACAGGACAACCGAGAAGATGTGGATAAATTATTAGAAACATGCAACCTATCAAGACTGAGGGTCAAGAAGAAATAGAAAATCTGAACAGACCAATATGAGTAAAGAAATTGAATCAGAATAAAAAACTTCCCAATATACAGAAACCCAAGAATGGATGGTTTCAGTGGAGAATTCTACTAAATGTTTAAAGAACTAACACCAGTCCTCTCACCTCTATCCTCAAACTCTTCCAAATAATTGAAGAGGAAATAATCCCAAACTACAAAATCCCTAATTTCATGAGGCCAGTCCCTGACATGAATGCCAGATAAGGACACTACGAGAAAATAAAATTACAGACCACTGTCCACATATGGATGCAAAAATTCTGAACAAAATATTAGTAAAACAAACTTATTGAAACATTCAAAGGGTCATACACCATGATCAAGTGGGATTTACTCCTGGGGTTCAACATAGGCAAATTGATTAAAATGATATACTATGTTAATAAAATGGAAGATAAAACTTATGATCATCTCAACAGATGCCAAAAAGCATTGACAAAATGCAGTTCCCTTTCATGAAAAAATGCTCGACAAATTGGGTGCAGAAGAACATACCCCAACACAATAAAGGCCATATATGACAAGCCCACAGCTAACATCATGTCCAACGGTTAAAGATCAAAAGCTTTTCCTCTAAGATCAGGAACAAAGCAAAGATGCCCACTCTCACTTTTATTCAACATAGTACTGGAAATCCTAGCCAGAGAAATCAGAGAGCAAAAAAAGAAATAAAAGGCATCCAAATCAGAAAGAAAGATGTAAAACTGTTTCTGTTTGCAGATGACATGATATTATATATAGAAAATCCTAAAGACTACAGCAAAAAGAACTCTAGAACTAATTGATGAATTCAGTAAAGTTGCAGGATACAAAATCAACATACAGAAATCAGTTGCATTTCTATGGACCAATGAAAAAACATCTGAAATATAAAGGCAACTTGTCTGGGTCACTGCTCAGCAGAAGCTGCACCTTGCTGCCTGCGACTGAGTGCCTGGCAAGGAGTCTTGGTGAGTTCTGGAAGGGAAGGAAGGGAAGGGGGTGCTAGGGCGGAAGTGCTGGCCTGGAAGTCTGGGCCTCCCCCAGCAGGGAGCCCTGCCCGTGGGAGCAAGGTGGGCTCTGATGGCCGAGTTCATCCTCAGCTGAGCGCAGGCCTGGCTGGTGAGGCTCACGGGACAAGGAAGGGCTGGAGCGGGAGGCCGTGTCTTGGATGGCGACGGATCATCCATCACGAGTCTTTTTTCCAGGGTTCTTATTGGTCCAGAGGATCTGTGCACAAGTGGCTGAGCCCCTTCTCCCAACCTTGGGTTACCATCCACCCCAAATATGAGTGGTGGGTCTACCACAGGGAGCCTTGTGGTGAATCCCTTGTGAAAAAGAAAGGGGAGTTCCAGGGAAATCTGGTCCAGAGACCCTCCTCAGCCACTCTCCCCTTGGCTGAGCCAGGCTCTAAGGGCACCTGGAGACTGTGGTGCTCAGAGAGCGGGTGTGGGAGGATCTGGTGTCAGCTGTGGTGCAGGAAGCAATTGGTGGCAGGAGCAACAGGGCACTTAGATGCGGCGACCACTCAAGCTCGCCAGCATTTCCGGGGGGCCCGCCGCTCCTGCTGTCCTGCTGGAAGAGCGGTTGAAAGGGCCATAGCGGGTGGGTCGCAGGGCCTGGGGGAAGGCGGCCAGGGAGGCCCCAGTGCACACGGGGCTGACCGCAGCATGTGGTGGCCTCTCTCCTGACCCCACCGGAGAACTCAGGAAGGGCTCTGTGGGAAATGGGTCGAGAGCAAACGTGCCTCAGATGAGCACCATGGGAATGGAGCTGGGCACCACCAGAGGCAGAGAAACAGAGGAAAGGAGGGAGAAGACAGAGGGGGACACAGAGACGCAGAGAAGAGGAGAGACCGACGCGGGATCTCCCATTTTGGGTCCCCTGGAATGTGGTGAGGAGGGATGGCTTCCCTAAACTCATGCCATGTATGTTCTTAGGTTTCTACAGAAAACCTTCCCTCTTGGCCCAGCCGGGTCCCCTGATCAACCTGGAAGAGTACGTGATGACCCTGCAGTGTTGCTCAGAGACTGTGTACGAAAGCTTCATTCTTCACAGAGATGGAGCGTCCGGGGCCCCTGGCCTTGGTGGGCAGCTCCGTGCCGGGGGCTCCCATGCCAGCCTCTCCACGGGCCCTGTGGCAACTGCCCTTCTGGGGACCTACAGAGGCTTCGGCTCTCTCAGCCACGCCCCCGATGTGTGGTCAGCCCCCAGGGGCCCCCTGGACATCGTGATCACAGGTGAGAGTGTCCACACTCCCCCCATCCTCTGCGGGGTACAGATGGCAAATCCCAGGTCGTGGAAGCCTCAGCAGGTGACGGGGATGAACGTGAGGTTCTTATGACGACAGGGTGGGTGAGGGCTCCCTCCAGAGGGACATCTGGGTGGGGACCGTCTGGGACCGCATGAAGGACAGCACAGAGGCGAAGGCAGGGGGGCAGAGTAGGCATAAGGGCGAAGGGAGAGATGCAGGCAGATGCACACATGGCAGGGGGAGGGCGCCTCTCCGCTCTGTTTGTTCAGAGACCTGGGGCCGTTTAGAAGCTTGGTTTCCACTTAGCTCCACACTCTCTTCTCCACCAGGACGGCCCAAAGACACCAGGTACCTGACCTAAGTTTCAGGGTCAGGCTGGCCCTTCCCAGGCTGATCCCGTGGGCCCGGTGTCCTCACGCCATGTGGTGCTACAGACGCTTGGTTTTTATTCTGGCATGACTTCCTTCCACGTGGTTGAGCCAGGATGTGTCCCAGGCTACCATGGTCCTGGGTGGAGGAGCCAAGCACCAGCCCCTGTATGTGGGCATGTTTTATGGGTCCCCCAAAATTGTGTCTCAGGTCCCTCCAGAAGTTATAGGATTCCTGAGGTCCAAAGCCCGCAGAGAGATGCAACAGAGAGAAATCAGTCCATGAAAAGCAGAGACACAGAAACACATGCCTGCACACACACAGAATGAGCCACACACACTCGCGTGTACACACGCAGAATGAGCCACACACACTCGCGTGCACACACGCAGAATGAGCCACACACACTTGCGTGCACACACGCAGAATGAGCCACACACACTTGCATGCACACACAATGAGCTGGAGGGATGGGAGAGAGACACTGGCTCAGAGACAGGGAACAAGAAAGACAACGGTGGAGAGAAAGAGAAGAGGATACAGAGGTGGAGAGAAAGATGGGAGGGGGAAAGCAGACCCCTAAGTGAGGGTCACAAAGACAGAGAAAGAGGGCACTGGGGGAGTTTGACAGAGATTCCCAAGAGAGGCAGAGAAAGTCACGGAGTTGGAGATGACAGAAGATTAGATAGATAGATACACAGATGAGAGAGAGAGAGATGATAGCTGAGAGCTGACAGGTGATGGGTAGGTGACGGCGTCAGATGACAGGCAATGCAGAAAGATGGGGACAGCACAAAATGAGAGAGTTGGGGTCAAAGAAAATGACAGATCAAACCAAACCAACCCGAGGAGAGGCAAAGAGAATAAAAAATACAAATAGGAAGAGAAATAAAAGGGAGGCGAGGTCAGAGACAGAGGGAGGAGGGGCCAGGAGAGAAGGGCGCCAGGCCAGAGCGTGGAGGGTGGGTTCCCCGCCAGCTGCAGGCTCTGCAGAGAGAAGCCCTCCCCACCCAGGCAGCCGGCTTTCCTGCTGGGAAAATGCGAGAACCCGCTTCCCCAGCCCCCCCGGGGGCCCTGGGGCGACCAGCAGAGAACCGACCAGCTGGCTGCAGGGCGGAGCCGCAGGGGGCTCCCAGCCGCCTCCAGGCCCTGCGACCCAGCCCACAGGAGCGCACCCCCTGATAGGTGAAGGATAGGGGACAGTGTCTCCCCACGCATGGTCCGCCCAGAGTGACCGGCTGCACCTTCCTGTCCCGGGTGAGGAAGCCTCAACCCGCCCCACGGGTGGAGGTCTGCACTGTTCAGGCCGTATCTGAGGGGCGTCCTGCCCAGGAATTCTGGGGAGAAGGAAGCCCCCCGTGAAGGGAGGGGGAAAGCACTGAGGAGACACCCCCAAGGCCCCCCCTCACCTCCCACGTGAGGCCACACTGGCGTCTGCACGTCCAGGCGGACGAGGAGGGGGTCCAGGTGGACAAGGAGGGGGTACAGGTGGACGAGGAAGGGGTCCAGGTGGACGAGGAGGGGGTCCAGGTGGACAAGGAGGGGGTCCAGGTGGACAAGGAAGGGGTCCAGGCGGACGAGGAGGGGGTCCAGGCAGACCCCGGAGGAGGGCAGGCCCCGCTCAGTTCGGGGGATGAGGGGCCGTGTGGGTCGTCACCACTGTCTGCTTCCTGGGGGCCCTTGCTGACCCCTCGCCCACAGGGCGATTGCCCCGGCGGCACAGGGGCAGCCTACGCAAGGGTCAGAGGCCCTGTCCGCATGGACATCCCAGAGGGAGCGTCGAGTCCCCCTGGACTCTGGGATGGGGGACCGGACCCCCAGGAGCCAGCGCAGGTGACGAGGGAGCCCCAGGGGGTGGGAGGTGGAGCCCCGTTTCTCCCCACTCTCCTTCAGCTGGTCCCCTTCCACCCACGGAGCCAAGCACCACAGCTCCAAAGGGTGACTGAGAACCCCTTTGCTGGCTGTGGGCGCCCGGGAGAGGGGGGCCTTGGGTTCCAGGGTCTGCCCATCCACCTTCCTGCTCTGTGACCTCGGGCCTGTCCCCTTCTCTCTCTGATGCCCGGGCTCTGCGAGGGCAGGAGGGGCCTGGGTGGATGCGGGGCCCCTGAGGAGGCTTCATCTCTAACTTCCTGCAGCAGAGACCCCCTCCGGGGCAGCCAATGGGAGTCCCCCTGACCCCTCAGGGATGCTGCACTCGTGCTCCGCCCCCAGGCCTGCCTGGAGATGAGCCTCCTGGGGACTTGAGGGGGAGAGGAGGGCGTGGCTGCGGGGGGAGGCCCTGTGCTTAGAGGGGGTCCATGTGCCCACACACGCAGCGAGCTGGGACTCGGTCTCTCGCCCCCACGGAGGAAGGACCCCGCACTGATGCAGCCGCTCCAGGGTGCTGCACGCAGTGGGAACGCCATGTGCATTTCTTTCCTTCCTCCGCTGTAACAGGTCTCCACAAGCTTAGTGGAGCAAAGCAGCAGTTTCTTTTCAAGTCATCGTTCAGTTCTGGAGGTCGGAAGTCAGAAGCCGGTCTCACTGGGCTAAAATCAGACAGCAGCAGGCGGCACCTCCTTCGTGGGCCCCGGGACAGCGCATGTCCCGTCCCCCAGCCTCCAGAGCTGCCCGCCTTCCCTGCCCGAGGCCTCCTGCCTCCCCCTTCGGGGCTGATGACCGGCCAGGGCCCCCTCCCCGTACCTCCCCCCTGATCCTCTCCCCTGCCTGCCTCCTTCTCGGGGGATCGCACTGGGGCCCCCCAGATCACGTACAATAACCTCCCCATTTTAGAGCCAGCCGTCGAGCAGGCCTCGTTCCTCCCTGACGTGCAGTATGACCTGATCACAGATTATGGGGCGCATCTGGCGGTGGAGGCGTCTCTTCCACCTACGGCAGGTGGCAGACAAGACGAATTTGGGGAAGCTGATGCTACGGTGCAGGTAAGTGGGAGGACAAGGCGAGTGTCCCCTTGCCCGGGCCAGGACCAGTGGCCTCACCCGCTGGGTTAAGACAGGATAAGCGGCATGAAGTAACGGGCATCCGGACTAACCCTCTGGTAAATAATTTTGTTCATCAGATGGGCTAAACAGCCACCTGCTCTCATGGGCTGAAATATGAAACTTACACCAGGACATCAGAGATACCTTAATAATTTCGACGACTTCTTCTCCTTACAGAAAAGACATTCATTCTTTTTTTTAAATTAACGTATCATTGATATACAATCTTATGATGGTTTCACATTCACAACACCGTGGGTTCAACATTCGCCCGTATTATCAAATCCTCACCCCCTCCCTTGCGGTCACTATCAACATAGTGAAATGTTATAGAGTCATTCTTTGTAGAAAATTTCAAAAACAGAGATAGATAAAAATCACTCATACATCTATAATCAGATAATCATTGTTTCTTTCTTTAATGTTGGTTCAGAATATCTTTGTGTATAGTTAGACAAACTTTTACATATTCGCTTCTTTGCAACCAACACCCGTACCAAAACGTAGACTATTCTGAACGCTCTGGAAGGACCCCTCAACTCTTCCCAAGTCAGGACTTGAAAAGTCCTGTTGGACATGGAAAGGTAGGTTCTGGCTTCCCTTCCTGTGTCACCGCCAACACGGCAGATCGGTCATCCCCCTGCCTTGCTGTTACTGACCTCCGTCTACACGCAACCACACAGTATGAACTTTTGAGACTGATTCTTTCTTTCAACATTATGTTTGAAATTTAGTCATATCTTTGCATGTGAGAGTTTCTCCCCACCCTTTGTGAGGAGGAACACACACACACACACACACACACACACGGCCACACTTCCATTTCCTTTTATATAAAATATAAGTATTTCACATATTGGAATCTCCTGAGCATCTCTCATCATTTCTCAAAACTCTAAGTTTCAATTTTATTTTCTGAAAGATGTGCTGTGCTCCCCCTGAGAAAAGCCATGTATTTTACTGAATATTCACAACTCCAGAACACCACCTGCTGCCCACGCATGCTCTGATTTGGGGAAAATTGCCTTGAAAACTGCAAGAGAGTAAAGGCCCTCGCTGCCCAGTCTCTTTCTGCATCTCTGAGGTAAGGGGGTAAGATAGACAGATAGATGATGATAGATTAGATAGATAGATAGATAGATAGATAGATAGATAGATAGATAGATAGAGATAGATAGATAGATAAATAGGTAGATAGGTAGATAGATAGATAGATAGATAGATAGATAGATAGATAATAGATAGATAGATGATAGATAGATAGATAGATAGATAGATAGATAGATAGATAGATAGATGATAGAGAGATAGATAGATGATAGATGATAGAGAGATAGATAGATGATAGATGATAGATAGATAGATGATAGATGATAGATAGATAGATAGATAGATAGATAGATAGATAGATAGATAGGTAGATAGGTAGGTAGATAGATAGATAGATAGATAGATAGATAGATAGATAGATAGATAGATAGATAGATAGATAGATAATAGATAGATAGATGATAGATAGATGGATGATAGATGATAGATAGATGATAGATAGATAGATAGATAGATGATAGAGAGATAGATGATAGATGATAGATAGATAGATAGATGATAGACAGATAGATAGATGATAGATAGATAGATAAGAGAGAGAGAGAGAGAGAGAGACATGGGTGTTTAGATATATAGACATAGACACAGGAGGTTCTTTCTTTAGAGGTGACGAGTAGCTCCTGAGAAATCCCTGTGCCACCTGCACTGAGAAAATCCCCAGTGGGAGAATATACTGAGCACCTGCTCAGGCCCAGGTGGGTGTCCGGAGTCCCGGAGGCCAGAGGGAGGACGCGTGGGTCCATAACAGGCGCGGTCATGGGGTTTCTGACTGATGGTCCCATGAAGAAGAATCTCTGTGTGTATGAGACCGTTTTATATTCTGCCCCAGGCCCTTCCATCTGAATGTGGGATCTGGTCCGAAGAAGGATTGGAGCCCCGTTAGACGCTGGCTGAGGAAACAGCCACTTGTCCTGTGAAACTTGAGCAGGAAGGCCTGGCTCCCCTCACCCACCCGGGAGCTCTCCACAACTAACCTCTCCGGGAAGGAACCGTTTCTCGGGCGCCAGTAGATGAGGAAATTCTCTGATCTCATACTTCCCGTGGGTCTCCCTGCCGCGTCTCACCCTGCGGATGTGCACCAGCGGGAGGTGGGCTGGGCCGAGGCCATGTGGGGCTATGGCCTCCAGAGCTGTCACCGTCCTCTGTCCTGGTGAGTCCGACATGCAGGCGGGCTAGACGGGAAGAAGGGGGAACCCCCACACAGTCGGTGTCCCTCTTAGCTTGAGGACTCCATGCTTTTGGGGGCTGCCAAGGACATTCTGGCCTCCTAAGTGGAGAGACGGCCTTTGGCCGCACGAGCCCAGGGGACCTCGAGGCGGCTCAGCTCTCAGGTCATCAGCTGGGCCCCGAGGGCCTCACCCAGCCCATGTCAAGCTCTCTGGGGATCCCTGGCGGCTCCGGAGTTCCCACAAATGAGAGCCTGATGGGATCTAGAAGATAAAGCCAAACAATGAGTCTCCACAGCTATGTTCACTGTAGAAGAAAAAATGATTTGCAACAGAGACAGGAAGCCAAAGGGCTGATCTACCCTGAGACCCTCTCTTCCAGTGCTCTGTCTGAGCCAGGAGGTTGGGGCACAGGGAGGTAAGTGCCTCCGGGTCTCCCCAGCTGCCTGTGCCCTGGGGTGGGAAGGTTGGAGGGACCGTCCACCGAGGGGACGGACAAGTCCCCGTTGGAGCCGCCTTCCAGTTGGCCGAGCTGTGCCCCCCCGGCCTGCCTCTGTCGACCCCTCAGACAGCGTGCTCAGACCCAGGCTGAGTCTCTGCCCCCGTCAGTCTCTGCCCCTCAAGCCATGTGTCTCACTGAGTGTTCGCAAGGGGAAGGATAAGGACGTCAGGAGCTCGCTGGCATTGCCAAAGACCCTTTCCTGTTTTGAGTCTACGTGTTTTCATAGCCTAGTTCTCTCCGGACTATCCACTTGACTTCATTTAAAGGGATGTCGCCTTGGGGCAGCCCGACTGTGCAGCCGGTGTTTTCCTGTGCACCACCCCAGCGCCAAGCACCAGCTGCTACCAGGACCAGGTGTGTGCCACCCAGCTACTGGCTTGGCTTCCTAATGGGTGTGACCCCCTGTGCCTCCACATCTCATCTCTACCAGCTCCCTCTAAAGACCGTAGCCTTTGAAATATAAATGTTTATCTCCCCTTAAAACTCCTCAGTCTTCTATCCTCAGATAGGCCTGTTGACTTCCCCAGGCTCCCCCAGCCCTCATCGCCTGGCCTTGTGTCTCCTCCGGTGCACTTTACCCTGTCCCTCCACGTCTTTGCTCTTCATCCATGCTGACCTTGATTTAGTTTCTCCCTCACTTGCTCCGTTTTACTAACTCAGGTCCTTCTGTTATCACCCGTGGTCCCCCAAACCTGCCTGCCAACTTTGCCTGGGCAGTCAGGCCTCATCCTTATGTGTCTCAGGACCCTCACATCTGTTACCAGGCCTCCAAATTCCACGTCTTTATACTTCAGACTGCACATCATGATCTGCAGTGATATACTTGTGCATTTTAAAATTACTATCTGACATTCACCACATCATCGTCTCATTAAAGATATTCACCAGGTCTCTTTAGGTCAGAGTTTCTCAATCTCAGCACTACCTACATTTGGGACCAGATAATCCTTTGTTTTGGGGTCGGTTCTGTGCACTGTAGGGCCCCTGGTCCTTACCCAGAAGATGCCCATGTTATCTCCCACGTCAGTTGTAACAACCAAAGATGTATCCAGACATTGCCAAACTGTCCCCTTGGAGGTAAAATTGCCCCATGTTGAGAACCGAAGGTCTAGGTCACAATAGTGAATAAACAGTATGCCTGGGTTAGTGGAGGCATCCCTCCATGCACTTTGGAGCCACAAATGCATGGACATACTGGTGGGTAATGGTACTGACTGTAAGGCAGTCCTGCAAGCTGTGGGGAATCTGGTCCGCAGCTTCCGCAACTGCCAGAGCAGGTGTGTCTTGCTTGATGACAACCCTCTCGGGGACGGATAGCTCCCCTCGTCCTCCTTCCCAGAGCCGCAGTTGAGCGCACCGCCATCAGGTCTAGAATAGATGACACGCCTCCATACAGGGAACCGGCTTTAAGAGCCCCTCTCCACCCCCACCCCCATTTGCTACTTTCTGCTGAGAGCAGAATTTCCCAAGTGCACAATCACTTGCTCAAAGCCATTCAGCACAAATGGACTGGGGCCAAAAGCTGAACGGCACCCCCTTCTACGCCCAAACCTTTCCAGACTCCTGTCTGTCCTCAGTCCTGCCCCTGGAGTGGTCAGGTTGCAGGCACCAGCCTGCTGGCCTGGTCTCACAGAGTGGGTCACCCTACGCAGCAGACCCCTGTCCACTGCCTCCTCCACCTGCTTTAGGATGGCATGCTCTGCCCACCTGGCAGGGGGCACAGCACAGAATCTGGAGTGAGTCTCCTAGTTGCCAAACCAGATCTGACAACCCTTCAGTTTGTGCTCTTGGGCCACTGGCATGGTTTCTCCAAGTCTCAGCCCCCTCCCTTTAGAGGGAAGAGCAGAACTGCATGCTGGTGAGGATTACCATGGCGACCAAACACCAAACAAACTTGGTGGCAAACACGGCAGACTGGTGGTTGCTGGGGGCTGTGGGGAGAGCAGAATGGGGGGTGACCCTTTCACGGGCATGCAGTCTCCTTTAGGGGTGATGAGATGGAACTAGAGAGAGGTGACGGTCACACAACATTGTGAATATACTACATGCCACTGAATTGGACACTTTAAAATTTTGTGCTATGTGAACTGTACCACAAAAACCAAATGAATGCAAAGGAAGGAACTCAGTTTCTCAAAAGTCTAAACAGAGAATCATTATACAATCCAACATGTGAAAAAGCAAAGGAATGGAAAGCAGGGACTTGAACACACATTTGTACTCTGATGTTTGTAGCAGCATTATTCACATTAGCCAAAAAGTGGAGACCCCCCAAATATCCATTGATAGGAAGGGATGATTAAAATGCAGTAGACACAGCAATGTAGTATTATTCCATGTAAAAAGAAAAGACAGGCTGGCACGTGTTATAACATGGATGAATCTTGAGGATGTTACGTGAAGTGAAATATGCCAGACGCGGAAAGACAAACATCGTATTCTTCCGCTGATATAAGTACCTCAAATAGGCCACTTCCCAGAGAAAGAGGGTATATTACAAACTGCCAGTGGCTGAGGGGAGACGGAGCTGAGAGTCATTGCTTCATGGGTTAGCGTTTCTGTTGAGAATCATGAAAAATGTCTGAAAATAGAAGTCATGGTTGCCCAGTATGGCGAATGTAATTAGCACTGAGCAGCAGCCTAAAAACTGGTTAAAATGGTAAATTTTATGTTATATATACTTTACCACAATTAGAAAACACCCAAAAAAAACAACTTTAAAAAGGAAGGAATTACAGGTCCTTCACACCATAATTTATATGTGTTCCCCCATCGAGAAGGAAAGCACGGCTTCTCCCCGGGGGGCCACCCAGGTCCCAGCTCTGTTTCCTTGCAGGGGACTCTCCGGTCCCTGTTGTGTCTGCCGCTCCTGGTTCTGTGGTTCCAGGGAACGAGTCTTGTGACAATCTTGTGCTGGGGGGACTCCCGAGTCTTTCCTGTGCCACCTAGGACCCTGGAAAACTCCACATACAAGGTGGTGGAGAAGAAACTGGAATTTCAGAAGAAGGCTGACTGTATCATTAACTGCACAGACGCAGACACCGCGGGGCATTATCAGGGCCGGTATGAGAAACACCACAGCTGGTCAGAGCGCAGTGACCCCCTGGAGCTGGTGGGGACAGGGGAGCAGGCAGCCGGGGTCTCCAGCCGTCATGCATTGTCCTTTTTTTTTCTCTTCACAGACTTTATTCTTAGAACAGTTTCAGATCCACAGAAAAATTCAGAAGAGCCTATGCAGCTGCATGGAAGATGGTGACATCTGCCAGGACTGCGGTACCTGCCTTGCTGCTAATGAACCAGCATCGACCCATTATTATGAGCTGAGGTCCACGGTTTATTTGGATTTCTAAGGGTTCACCCAGTGTCCTTCACCTGTCCTAGGATCCCATCGCACATGGCATGTCGTTGTCCTGTCTCTAGGCTCCCGTCAGACTGTCCTTGGCCTTGACGACCTGGGCAGTTTGAGGCCTGGTCAGGTACTTGCAGGGGGCCCAGCTCTTGGAAGTCACCCGATGCTTCCCTCAGGATGGCTCAGGGGTTCTGGGATCCTGGGAGGAAGACCACAGGAGCTCAGTGCCATCGTCTCCGCTCCATGTGAAGGGAACATCACGCACCCAGGAACACGGGTGCTGATGCTGGCCCTGAGTACCTGGCTGAGGTAGTGTGTGCTGGGTTTCTCCTCCAGAAATTTGCTTTTCCCTATGGAAGGAAAACTGCACGGCGTGGGAATTATGTTCCTGGCACAAGTCCAGCCCTCAGTGTTAAGCTCTGTCCTCAGGGTGGCCGGACCCTGTGTTTCTGAGGGAGGGCCCTGAATTTCCAGGTGCTTCTGTCTCCTGACATTCTTTTTACACAATGTCACCTTTCTCAGCCCCTCACATAGCTCCTCAAACTCTTGGATACCATCCCCCCCTTTTTTTTGTCAAAATATCATTTGTGACAGTGTGATTTATAACAAGAAGTATATATTTGGTCTTCGTCTCCTGGCACAGAGCTCCTAAGAATGGGAATTTCCTGTGATTAGAGCACTGAAGGTGTGTTTTGTTGGGCTAATGAGCTGGTGTTAGGTCAGCACCTACAGATGGGGATGGTCACTAGGGGAAGGCCAGGTGACTGGAGGGTTGGAGGTTGGAACTTTCGGTCCCACCCCCACGAGGGGAGAGGGGCTGGAGGTTGACTCGATCACCAATGGCCAGTGATTTAATCAGTCACACCTCTGTCATGAAGCCTCTGTAAAAACCCAAAAAGACAGGGTTCAGAGAGCTTCCAGGGTGGTGAGCACGTGCAGACTGGGGGAATGTGGTGGGCCCAGGGAGCATGGAAGCCCCTCGCCCTCTCCCCCCTGGCCCTGTGCGTCTCCCTCACCTGGCCACCAGCATCTCTTCTACCTGCGGTTCCTGAGTTATGTCTTTCTACAATAAGCCAGTGATCTAGTAAACAGCTTCTCTGAGTTCTGTGAGCTGCTCTAGCAAGTTAATTACACCCAGAGAGGGTCATGGGAACTTCTGATTTGTAGCCTGTCCATCAGAAGCCCAGGGGATCACCTGGACTTTCAGCTGGTGTCCGAAGCGGGGGTGGTCTTATAGGATGGAGCCCTCACAGCATGGGATCTGACATGATCTCCATGTGGACAGTATCAGAATTGAGCTGAATTGTAGGACGCCCTGCTGGTGTCTTAGAATTGCTCGATGGGGTGGGGGAAATCCTGCACATTACACTTGGGAACAGAATTGTCTGTGTCACCCGGCTTTAGAGACCAGCTCTCCATCTCCCGCAGATGGCATCTCTTCTTGCCCGCAGGCTGCTTGTCTGCACAGCGCTGTTTGCAGAGTGTGCGTCCTGTGCTGGTGCAATGGGACGCTAACAGCTCCCGTCCCTCTGGAGCAGGGACCGTCTGCGTTTCCCCTTCTCTGTGCAGACCCAGCGTGCGTGGCAGGGATGAGGGGGAAGGAGGGAGAGCCTGCTGAAGGGCCCCCCTCTCTCCTCTCTTAGGCTTATATGGTAGCCCTTCCTCCCTGCTGATCCAGGCCGCGTGGCAAGGCTTGGAGAGAGGCTTTCCCTCCAGTGCGGTTTAGCGCACGTCCCATTTGATAGATTTTCACTGGCCAAGGATGGAGAAGCTGCCTTGTCCCAGCACCAAAATGGGGGACACCACGGCAACTTCATCGTGGGTCCTGTGAACCCCAGCTTCTCAGGGAACTACAGCTGCTACGGTTGGTACAGCGGCAGCCCTTACGTGTGGTTGGCCCCCAGCGAGGCCCCGGAGCTTGTGGTCACAGATAGGTGCAGCCCAGCCCGTCCCTGTGTCCTCCTCCCTGGGGTTCTCCAGGCCACCCACAGCCTTGGTATCAGGCAAGAACATAAACAGGTGCTCTGCCAGGAAAAGCAAGCACAGCGTCCCCCAAACCACCTCCTTCCCCGTGCACAAGACTCCCCCGGGGGCTGCGGTTCCTTACCCTCGCACCCAGGCAGGCGGCCTCCATGTGGTTCTCAAGAACGCAGGAGCTTGTTGAGGAGGGGGTCAGATGGGACCCCACACAGGGAGATGACTCCCCGTTCAGGGCTCTGGGTTGGGGAAGGAGTGGAGCGTGACCACTGATGGCTCCTCTCCTTTGGATTGTATCTCTGCATATCACGAACCAAGACTGCACGATGGAGACTGGGACCCACATGGGTGTGGCAGGGCTGGTCCCTGTGGCTCTCGTGGCCATCCTGGCTGAACACTGGCTCCACCGCCAGGCTTCCCACAAGGGAGACCGGCCTGGCCTGAGCTGGAGTCGATGGGAATGTCAGAGAATGGGGCTCTGGACCAAGCCCTCAGCGCCCCAGGCAGACACCTGGAATGGGTCGGCCCCTGCGGAGTGCCCCAGCGCGTGTGGAAGGCAAGGGAGAGAGGTGCTACCAAGCGTGGGCCCATCTTCAAACCAGTGAAATGGGATTTCCCTTCGTGGAGCCGATGCGCTTGCACCTCCCACCTTTCTGACGTCAGTGATTAAATTCTCAGTGAAGTCTTAGCTTAACTAATCACCCTCCCTATGATAAAAATAATGCAAGGCATTCTCAGTTCTCCTTGCAGACTGCTTTTCACCCTTCCTCTGTAGAAGTTCCAGCTCATTATCTTCAGTTTGTCTTGAATGTATTAATGTTTATCAAATTCATCAAAACCGTAACAGGGAAGGGGATGAATGTGTTGAACAACTTGATTGTATTAATCATTTCACAATGTGTAAATATATTAAATCATGTTGTACATCCTAAATATATACAATTTTCTATTTGTCAATTATCCTTAATAAAGCCAGGAAGTTTTTCAAATAGGGGGAAGTGAAAAGGGAATTCACCCACTCCCAGAATGGAAACTTCAAACCGTCTTGATTAAATGGAGTTCTGAACTTTTGGCTTCTGGGTAGACTATGATGGCTAAGTGCTGGGGTATGGTTTCAGTACCTTCCAGAGAAAACAGACCTGGTCTTAAGACATCACGATGCAAGTCTTTTGAACAGAGACCTCTGCTTAGAGTTAACACTGCACAGAGAAAACGCTGGTGTAAAGGCAATCTTGGCGAGGATTTCCCTCTTAGGAAAAGCATTTCTGGAATTGCTCCAATCACCATCTCAGAATGACAAGAAAACTTGCCTTTGCCGGAAAGTCTGGAAGCAGACTTATGAAAAATCAAAAACACAGATGTCTTTTCACAAGAATAAGAGATTGAATTTCCTTTCTGAGCTGTGTGGGACCAAACCCATAAACGAATGTAAAATTGTCTACAGCCCACTGGACATCTGAGAAACCCCAGAGAACAGAGTGGAAGACAAGACCTGCTGTCAGTGCGCAGAAACACAGGTGCTGGAATCCCTTAGGTAGGAAAATTCACTGTAAATGACCATCAGTAAATACTGCAAACCTCATGCAGAAACAAAGAACCCCAAAATTATTATGGAAGAATTAGCAACCCCAAAAGACTTGAGACATAGAACTGCTTTCTGCCTACATTAATTATTAAAATAGTAAGAGAGGAAACCCTAAGGAAACCGAGGCTTGACCAATTCTCTAAAGTCCCTGCCGACCCCAGTTAGGACCATGTGTGGAGATATTAACTTCATCCTCAGTGGTGCCAGGGGGTTGGTTCCGATTCCAGGGACTTCCCTCCCAACTTGCAAAATAATTTCCCGGGAACATAATATCAATGAGCCTTTTAAACAGAATCCCAGTTTCTCTAGGGAGCTTTCTGCAGGGGAGCTATTTCTATGCCCTGGGTCGCTTTACCCCCAAAGGACAGCAAGACCTCTCCTGACAGGGACTCATTAGCGACTTCCCTTCAGGCTGTGGATGGAGTCTGGCGGGACAAGATGAGCGAGATGGACTCCGGGAGGCGGGGAGGCCACGCGCCCTCTCGGCCCAGGGGCATCGCTCTCACCTCCAGGTGGGCTTGTCCCGCATCATCTCCCCTTCCCCCCCTCAGGCCCAGTGCGATCAAAAACCATAGGTGGGTATATGCCTAGTGAGATAAGCCAGGCAGAAAGACAAATACCATACGATTTCACTCACATGTGGAATCTATGAACAAAACAGCAGGAGACTCAGAGACACTGAGAAGTGACCGGAGGCTCACATGGTGGAGGGGCTGGGATGGGTGCGTGAAACAGGTGAAGGCGATGATAAAGGGGCTCAAAATCTCAATCATACTATAAATTAGTCACAAGGATAAAAGTACGGCATAGAGAATATAGTCAATAGCTCTGTAGCATCTTTGTATGTTGACAGATAGCAACTACACTAGTTGGGTTGAGATTTAATCATGCACGTAACTGCCCAATCACTGTGTTGTACACTGAAAACCAATATAGTCTTTTGTATCGAGTACACTTCAATAAAAAGAAAAATCATAGCATTCAGCCAGGTTTCTCAGTGGCGTGCTCTGGGTCTGCTCTCTCTGTATGTGGTCGACATGGAAACTGACGGGTGGCCCTGAGTTGTCACCCACTTCCTCCACACTGTCTTTCCTGTAAGTCTTTCAAGGCTAAAGTCTCCAAAGCACACAAGACAGAGAGTCAGCTGGAGAAGCCCCCAACTGCATGCCCGTCGAGCCCTATACTGGACACCCCCAGTAGGAGGACAAGACAGCAACAGTCCGGTGGGTGGCCCTGTCCACAGGGGAGCCACGCACTGGACCTGAGGTCAGAACCTGCCTCGGGGTTTGCTGTCCAGGCTCTCCTCTTGACCGAGAGTGAGCGATCCACTCCAGCTTGTCCTCCTCAGGGGGGCTTCTGAGCACGGCGTCACACACACGAGGACGAAGCCTCCCCTCAAAATGTTATAAGGACATTGTGGTGGAGTCTCGAGACAGGCAGACTGGATGGCTGTTGGCTGGCTGGAGAAGGGGCATTCTGGCATTTGGAGCTGAGGACTGAAGGCAAAAGAAAAGAACGGAATGAAAAAGCTGTTGTTTGCAATCACATGACTGAATCCAGAGGACACGAGGCCAAAGGAAATAAGCCAGACACGCAAAGACAAATAAAACTTGTTTCACTTACATGAGGATGAAACTGTTCTATATTTTGATTAAGGTGTTGGCCACAGGACTATATGCATTTATCAAAACTCATAAAACTGGACACCAAAGGAGCAAATTTTATTGTATATAAATAAGAAAGTAAGTGGAGAATGTTTGACAACATCCAGAAATAAGAACAAAAGAAAATAGATTGGGGATGGAGATTTTTCTCATAGGATGTGAGGCAGAATATAAACTGACACACATTTCATTTCCACAAACTGTTTAAACCCTTTAAAACAGAAGAACAATAGGGACATTTTGAGTTTTAAAATATATCAAAATATCTGCTTTATAACAGACTAAAGGCATGTGCTTAGGTAAGAAATAGAACATTTCTGCTTAAGAGCAGCGTTCTGTTGAAACACAACGCATCTCTTCCATTCTGATGAAGCCAGTTAGCTTATCCAAGCGTACACACATGGTGCACAGGAAAACCATGGTCAAACGTAGTTTTTTGGTGATTCTAAGGTTTTTGCTTTGTACCCTGCCCTATGCCTTCCCTGCACATAATGTCCACATTTCAAAAAGTGGACCCAGAAATGAGTTTCAGGTGAGGCAGACAATTGTCCACAGACCTGGTTGGGCCCCAGATATGACCAGCTGTGCGGTGAGAATTATGTCCTTTCCTGGTGCCCTGCGGTCAGAGGTGGAGGGGAGAGCTGCGCCTCGTAAAAAGCCCCATAGTCACAGGTGCTAGTTTCAGCCTCCACATCCTGTGCCTCCTGGTCGCTGTGTGCCACCGGCTGCTCCACGTCAGTTGGGCAGGACCTGTGCCAGGATCTGTGCCATGCCTTCTGCTCTGCCTGCCCTGCTCTGCCTAGGTGAGGTCTCACGTGGAAGGGAGATGGAACCCGGGGGTCTTGGGGGGGAGACAGTGAAGCTCACTAGCCTGTCTTCCAGGGCTGTATCTGAGCCAGAGGATCAGCGGCCAGACACGTGAGCCCCTCCCTTGAACCCCCAGAGTCACTCCTGGGGGTTCAGGCTCAGGATCCGCCTGGGAGCAACAGCTGGGGGCCAGGCCAGGGCTTGGGCTCCGGGGATCCGGTTAGGGTGTTGGGCCAGCTGCTGGGTGGAGGTGGGGGAAGGGACTTTGCCTACAACCCCAGCCTCTGATTCCCTTCCAGAGACTCTCTGGAAACCCGTCATCTGGGCCCAGCCCAATTTCATGGTTCCGAAGGGAAGGCCGGTGACCATCTGGTGCCAGGGTGCTCGCAGCGCCATTGAGTACCAGCTGTATTTCGAGGGACGCCTTTTGGCCTTAGAGAGACAGAAATCACCTGGAGTGATGAGCAAAGGAAGTTCTCCCTCTCGGCCATGACCCCCTTCACTGTGTGGCAGTACAGCTGCTTGTACCAAAGTGGGGAGCTGTGGTCCGAGACTAGTGACCCCCTGGATCTGGTGGTAACAGGTAAATGCCCCGTTCTGCAGCCGTAGAGTCATCTCAGCCTGAATCCGGGGCAGCGTCACCGCTTATTAGGCCCCTCCGAGCCCCTCCAAGCCCCGCGCAGAGACTGAGTAGGCCATGATGACCTGTGGGGTCTCCTATTGATCGCCGTCTGTGTCCTAGGGGCCTAGTGACTGAGGGCAGGTTCTCCCGCTAAGAGGTCGAAGTGGATGTTTCTGTGCAGAGGGCTCCTGGGGCGTGTCCTCAAAGACAGCCCCTGAGGTGGGCGAGGGCAGTGGGCCGGGCAGAGGGCGCAGGCGAACTGCGGTGCTGTGTCCCAGAGACCCCAGCCCAGCAAGTGGGGAGCTCCAGGCCTGGGACGGCCCTTCAGGGGAGTCTCGAAATGAGGCCGGGGGCTCTGGGCCTCCCAGCTTCAACCAGTGATTAGATGAGAACCCCTCCTACAGAGCCGTTTGCTAAAGGACGGACACTGTGGGATTCCACTTTGATGGCATCCCTGGAACAGTCAGCTGCATAGGGACAGAAAGTAGAATAGCGCTGGCCAGGGGCTGGGACAGGGCGGGTACTGATTAATGGGGACAGGGTTTCAGTTTTGCAAGACAAGAAGAAGGCTTATGGGTGGTGGTGGTGGCGGCTGAGCATCGGTGTGAATGTACTAGACACCTCTCAGCGGTGCACTTAACAATGGTTAAGGTGGTACATTTCGTGTTACCTGTATTCTACAGCAATTGAAAATAGTAACAATTTTTAAGAACGCAGGTGACTGCTGCACCCCGCCGTTGGATGCCGTGGGTCTGGGGTGGAGTCTGGGAATCCTCGTTCCTAACACACTCCCAGGCAACACTGACATTGCTGCCCCAGGAACCCGACTCAAAGGACCACTGATGGGGTGCAGTTCACCCCAAACACCCCTGGAAGTGCCTCGGTCTTGAAGGGGGAGAGCACGGAGTGTGTGTCCGTGACCACGACAGCAAGGAAAGGGAAGAGAACGGGATTCTGGGGAGCAACACCGGGTCTCATGGACGAGGGGATGGGAGATATCACAGAAGGACACAGATGCCCCTTACCCACCGGCCACCTTCCCCCACAGAAATGTATGACACCCCCACGCTCTCAGTCCATCCCGGGCCGCAGGTGGTCTCAGGAAAGAATGTGACCTTCTACTGCCATCTAGAGACTGCGACCAGCACCTTCTTCCTGCTCAAGGAGGGCCGACCTGGCCGCCCGCAGCGCAGACATGGGAGCAGCCAGGTGGCGTTCCTCCTGGGCCCCGTGAGCACGGCCCACAGAGGAACGTACAGGTGCTTCGGTTCCTACAACAACCATGCCTGGTCTTTCCCCAGTGAGCCTATGAGGCTCCTGGTCACAGGTGAGGAAACCCCCCATCCTCTCCGTGTCCTCCTGGAACCCCCAGCAGCGCCGAGGAAGGCAGCGGAGGGGCAGGTGCGAGAGGAGGACAGGAGGGGACATCCCGCCGCCCGCATCCGCCCCTTCCCTGGAGGCAGGAGCAGCAGGCTGTCCACAGGACACATGCCACAGGGCCGGGTGGGGAGGAAGCCCAGAGAAAGCCCAAACCCTTGCTCTCCCTTGTCCCCATTGCTAGGAGATGTTGAGGACAGCAGCCTTGCTCCCACAGAGCTCACCTCTTCCGGTGAGCTACAGTGACTTCTAGCGTGGGGGGTGGAAACGACCCCGCAGGGGCCCTGAGAACGTGCAGTCCCCTTGGGATACCCACTGAGTGCACAGCATGGGCCGCGAGCTGCGGCTCTCTCTGCCTGGCAGATAAGCAGCCCTGCCTCTGGGGACCGTGTGGCCCAGCACAAGACAGACCGTGAGTCCAGGTCAGGATAATGGAACCGATTGCATAGCATGCGAGGAGGCGATGATATGGAAAAAAGGCAGAACAGGGATAAGGTGACTGGGAGGGCTAGGGGCAAGGGTTGTCTGAACTGGCTTCACAGAGAAGGGGGCATCAGAGCAAATATCTGAAGGAGTTGAGGGCATCAGTCCCGTGGCCAGCTGGAGAAAGGAGTTTCCAGAAAGAGGGAATGGCCGGTGTCTATGCCCTAAGGCGGAGGGATGGCCAGCCTCATGAAAGAACAGCAAAGTGGGTCTGGAAATGATGGCAGGGAGGTGATGGTGGGCACCGGGCAGCTCGATTAGGGGCTCGAAGAGAATGGTAAGACTTAAGATTTTACTGCATGTGAGGAAGAAGAAATGATGTTGATCAGCTTCATGGTGAAACTGAGACCCAGGTGACCCTCCCGATGGAGCCCCCAGGACCTGGGATGTGGGGTGGGGACCTTGAAAAGCTGTAGGATGTAGGGGGTGGGGGATGTAGCCCAGGGAAGGAGAGGCTGGGATGGAAGAGGCTGACACCAGCTTTCTTCCTCCTGTCTTCACATGTTCCTCACCATCTGCAGACTCGGGGGACCCGCCCTTGCTAACCACGGAGGCAGGATTCCAGCAAGGTGAGTGGGCGGCCGGCCCCCCAGGGAGGAGCTGGGCAGGAGCGGGTCAGAGGGCAGCGAGTGCACGGTGAGTGAGGCGTCCTGCCACTCACCCTGTCGTGGGTCCCTGCCAGCGTGCACTCTGCTCTTCTGACTCCAGACCTTGCCCTCTGGAATCACATGGCCCAGAATCTCCTGCGGATTGGCCTGGATTTCCTGGTTCTGATGGCCCTCCGGGGCCTCCTGGCTGAAGAGTGGCTTTGCAGGAAGAGGGCTAGAGAGCAAGCCAACACCGCTTCCAGCTGGGAAGGCAGGAGAAGGTTCAAAACACGAACACTCCTGAACAAGTGACGGGAGACGTGGTGGCCCCGAGTAGAGCTGAGAGCTGATGGTGACCTTGGGTTGTGACCTTGGGCTGTGTGAGCTCTGTACTGAGCCCACGGAGGAGGGAGCCACTGCTGGACACTGGGACAACTGCGTGGGGGCTGGCGAAGCATGCTGGAGCGGGCAGGAGAGAGGGTGCTAAATTTCTTCTGCAGACAGATCCCATCATCTCTGCTAGAGTCTGTGTGTTTTTGTGCCTTCTTACTGCAAACCAACATTTCAATCCCTCTGGCCTCCCCTGAAATCACCTCCTTCATTAACATTGTGGCCATGGGAATATTGCCTTCCTACTGGGGTCCTTATTCTATGTATTCTGTCTTTTCTCTGCAACATATCATTCAAAATGTTTAGCAGCCCTTACAGAACAGGCTCTTAGCACATGGAACAGGTCATGGAGATGCAGGCTGCAGACAAGAAAACTGATGTACAGCTACCGCAGCCTGTCCCAGCCGGATCTCAGCCATGAGCCGACCCCCTACCCTATGCCACCCCAAGATTCTGTCTGCTTCACTTCTTCATCCATACCTTGCCTCGTTCTTTGTGTCTCCAAGTACATACCATCTCCTCCAAAAAAGTTTCCAGTTTGACTTACGAGTCCACATTCATACCCCTGGAGCACCTGCCATTTCTCTCTAGCAGGTACTTGAACTCCAGCACGGCATTCATGTCCATTTTCCTGTCTCTGCTAGGCACTCACGTGCATTAAATCACGGTGGATCTGATGGCCATGTCCCCAGCTCCCACGGCTGAGAGAGCTCTCAGGAAAGGTATGGTGACTCAGCGGATATATAAATGGGGCCAGAGCACAGGTGAGGACTCAAGGCTCTTGACGTTGGTCCTTGCAATGCCGTCTGGCACTGTGAGCTCTGTGCTCCTGAGACTTCCTACGTGATCAGCCCTTGAATATACCCATTACGTGGGCCCTCCCACCCGCCCCAGTGTTCCGACCCCTCACCCAGGTCAAATCCATTCTCTAAATCTGAGTTTTCTGTTAAATATCAGAGAACATGCATTCCAGCCTCAAAGGGATAACATGGATATTTGATGATATAAAGAATACCGAGTAGGCAGCACAGGGCTCTGACAGAAGCTGCTCCGTGCCTCCTAGCATCTGCCACCCCCTGGAGTTCCTACCATCTGTAATGTGAAGCTGTCTACAATGTTTTCTTGTCTACAGGGATTCCTTGTCCTATGGGGCACTGAAAATCCCACCAATTATTACCTCATTACCAGTGGCCCCAGTCCTGAATTTTCTTCCTTCCGTTCTTCCTCCAGGTGTTCTGAGATTCAGGAATTTCTAAGTTCATATCAAATTACAGTTTCCATCCCAATATAAGATGGACTTGCTTGGAGCGTCATGGCATTCCAGGTTTCCATATCCTAACTTCCTGCAAGAGATCTAGAGCCTCATGGGGAGAGTGCGTAAGGCAGAGGGGCCTTGGCGTCCAGATACAGAAGCAGGGGCCTGGCCTGGGCAAGGGGGCCCCTCAGAGGACGGGAGGCGGCTCTGCCACTGGGGTCCTGCTCTCCTCCTCACCAAGGTCAGTCTTGCAGAACTGGTCCACAGGGCATGGCCAAATGGGCAGGGGCCACATTCCTCCTTTTGAAATACTGAACATGGCTTATATTCCAGACAGCAAGATGAAGCATGGGGAGGGGAGACGTGGGGGAGGGAGGTAGGGAGTTGGTCCGGTTGGTAGTGATGTTGTGGATGAACCATGAGAGGTGCAGAGGGCACATTTGGGGCAGAGTCAGGGACACAAACAAGGGGTCCATCTTCCCAAACTGAGAAGCATTTTCCATTTTTTAACTGACATACAACACTGTGTAAGTTTAAGATGCACACCTGCTGATGGGACGTGCTGGCACACCGCAGCACCGCTGCCGCCTTGGCATGAGCCCACCGCCATCCCATGCCACGACTAGCGTTCCTTATCTTGGGGCGGGAACAGTTAAGATCTCGCCCCTCAGCAGTCACACAGCATTGTTGTTTATAACGCAGGACTGTTGATAATCACAATGAGGTGCATGAGGTCTAGTTTATTTATTTACAAATTCATTTACTAGTTCTAAGTTTGTGCCCTGAAACCACATCTCCCCATTCCCCCTCCCCAGCCCCTGGGAAACACGGGTCCCCCTCTGTTTCTGCGTGTCCGCGTGTGAGGTCACGCGGTATTTCTCTGTCCACCTTACCTCACCCGGCGGTGCCCTCCAGGCCCATCCACGTTGCCACAGATGGCAGCATCTCCTTTCTCCCGACTAAACAATGTTACATTGTGCATATATGTTGAAGCATTTTGGCAAAGCAGGCCCACCCACGGAGGGTCCAGCCTGGCTCCCTTCCTCTCAAGGTGCTGGGCTGGAGAATCTGTCTCTGCAGGTCGATGCCACAGCACCCCAGTTTCACGGGTACGAGGGAAGGTGGCGTCTCCCTCCCCTACTCAGCCCTGCTGCCCTTCCTTCTGCGCTGGCCCTGGGTTCTTCCCTATTCCCAGTGGCAGCGGAAAGACGGGACCTCAAGTCTGCCTTCCCTGGTTTCTTCATCTCGTTTTGCACAACACACCTACCACAGAGCCAGGAGGCAGGGGAAGGACCAGACCCAGTCTGTGAAAACCTGCGCCCCTGCGGCAAGACAGGTCCCTGCTGTTTCCACCTTCATTTGCCGACAGGACGGAGGGAGGCTCCTTACAGCCTTGTAGTGAGCGGTGACGCCGTGCTGGGCATTTATCCATGTGCCTCCCACCCCCACTGGAACCGAAGCTCTGCAGCCCTGGGTGCGGGCCAGGAGCTCAGCGTCAGAACACAGCCCTCGTGTGGGAGAAAGCCCGCCCCTTCTGCTCTCCCGGCCCCAGCCCTGAGCGCCGACCCCCTGAGGCATCGCCCACACTGGCTCTTTGCTCCCCGGAGGCTCACTCCTCAACCACAGGTTTCTCACCCGGGCTTCCTCTGAAGCTGTTTCTGCAACAAACGCAAACAAGCTTCCTGGAACACACAGTGGACCTTCTCAGACCTCCTCTGGGGTCGGTTCCTTTGTTGGTTGAACCCGACCACATCCTCCAAGACACGGGCACGCCACGGGCTCCCCAGCGGCAGTCGGGGGGCTGTTGGGAGACTCACCTCTCTCTGGACGCAAGTCTGGATCAGTCACATCTAATGCCATGGCTTCGGTTTCTCTAAGCTGGGCGCCCACATCTGTTTCTCTGAACCCCTAATTATATTTTCCTGGCTGTTCAGGTTATTTTACCAGCTTCGTCCAACCAACCTGGACCAAAGCTGTTCCTCTAACCTGGCACAACCCCAAGAGTGCTCATGGCCACCCTGCCCCCTTCCCTATTCTGCCTGCTGGAAAGGCGAGTCACACACATCAGACACGTGGCGCCCACAGGCCCCCGGCTCAGAGTCCTGGAATCAGGATGAGCTGGAGAAGGGCTAGCAAGTATTTTGGGGGCTAAAGAGGATCAAACCCTGACTCTCCCAGGATTTGGGTCCTAGCCATCCTCTACTAAGACTTTTCGTAAGGGAAGTGAGTTGACAACCCCAATCTGTGTTCCCAACCACCTTGTGCTCAACAAAGAGCCCCCTTCCACGCCCGGAAGAGAAGCCCTGGTGACTGGTGAGGTCAGACCCAAACTCACCACTTTCCCCCCTTTTCCGGGCTCACCCCGGCGCCCCCCTTCTCTCTGAGACTCGCCACGGCTCAGCAGGGTGGCAAGAAGAAACGTGAGTCTGCAGCCCTTGAGGCCCTCAGGCCCCTGCGGAGCGGAGGGTGGGCAGGGGGAGCCGCAGGCGGGGGCGGGGGGCCACCCGACACCTCCAGGCTGAGGTTCTCCACACCTGCTCTCTGGCCGGGGAGAGAGAAGGAAAAGCAGCCTCCTCCTCGGGGCTTTGTCTACCCCGCATGGAGCGAGGGGGAGGGCACAGCATCCTGAGGATGTGGATCAGACAGGAGGCCTCACCCGCTCTCCCCCTGCGGCCGGTTCTCAACCTCCGGATGCCGGACTGATTGTTTGCTGCACGGCTGCCACGTGTTGTGGGGTGTCTTGCAGCACCCCAGACTGCGCACTAGAAGCTAGTAGCACAACCACTTCTGGCCTCAAGTCCCTGGGGCCGTCACCTCCAGAGGCAGAGAGCAGCCACACGCATGCGGGCGGGGGGGTGGCGTGCTCTGGAACTAGACGGGGGCGACGGCGCCACTGTCTCATGAATGTATGAAAGGCCACCAGATTGTACGCTGTGAAATGACGAAAATGGTTAACTGGATGTTATGTGTAAAAAAAGTCTCTAGACATTTCCCTCGTGTCCCCTGGGGGCCAAATCGCACCCAGGCCAGGCCCATTGTCCCCCTCTGGTGATGGATCGCCTAGAGTGTTTCTCGATTTCAGCACTTCTGAGATTTTGAGCCAGATGCGTCATTTGCTGCGGGGCTGTCCCCTGCCTCCTGACAGGTTGGCTGCTTCCCCGGGCTCTGCCCGTTAGGTGCAGGAGAGCCCCTCCTCCAGTTGTGACAATAAAAATATCTCCAAATGTTGCCCGGTGTCCATGGGACACTGACCCACAGGGTCCAAACCTCTATGCTGGTTTGCCCCCCAAGCCCTCGAGACTCTAATTTCTGCACAAAGGGAGCTTCGGCACAAGCCGTGGGCTGTACTGTCTGATGAACACTGGATTCGAGTCTTGCTCTGCTTCTTAGGGGCTGTGTCACATCAGGCCACTGAGTCCTCTGTGTTTCCTTACTTATAAATAGATAAGAGGACAACATGATCTTGGGGAGCAGGGAGGTACATAGGGGTCTCTTACAAGTTTCAATTAAATGGGTTTAAAATACCCAGCCTCCAACAGAGGGTCTGATCCAGATATTCCCCATCAGGGTCTCCCTCCACCGTGTTTGTATCTGTTTTGTTTTAACATAAACCTTACCCGTGAGCTTTGTCCCCCAGTAAAAACCCGAATTTTGACTCAGCCCCACCCCTAGCAGCTTGATTCCTTCTCCTGACCCACATTCAATCCCTCCACCACACACCCACCCCCCTGAAATCTGCACCTATCCAGGTCCCACGAAGTTGCTATCAGCTGAGTGTAACCCCAAGCACAGCAGCAACCTTGAGCATTTGAGCCTAGTTATCTTAACAAGGGCCTGAAATGGTCAAGGAAACTGGCTCCTTCCAGGCCCACTGAGCAGCTGTGTTAAGCCACACCCCTTCCACACTGGAGTTAATAAGAATTCTGCGTTCATTTGTGGCCTCTATCTCCTAGTGTGTGGCCCAGTGGCCAAAATGTGAACGAGAGTAAAAGACACAGAAGATAAAACAAGATTGCACGGAATTCGGAAGAGAGACAGTATATAAAGACACAAAGGCTGAACTTTTTTCCCCAAAATTCTGAGTCCCTACCAGCAGAAAAAATAGGAAATAAGAAATCGGAAACAAAAGGAAAAGAAATCCACACCTCAAACATCAGGGTTCTTGGAAGAGAATCTCCCGACAACAGCCAGAACGAAAGGAACGGAATGACCCCCAAACACAGCAGCCGGACCAACAGCAACAGTGAGGGCAGGCGGAGGGGCACCTCCACTGTCCACCACAGAGCGTGCAGTCTTCAAGGATAAGATTTTAGAAAGCTGTTTATCATCTCACCTGAAAATTGACAATCTGGAGCTTTTTTATAGTTACACCGGGCAAAAACTGTGGGGGAGAAAACTTCACTGAGACAAAACGCTGTACCGACTCCAGTTCCACGTAAGCACCTAAGCACAGGCTGTGGTCCCTGTACCTGGGGCTGGATGGCATCCTGTGTCAGTGTTCTGAGGAGCGATCCTATCGGCTACCTGTACATCCGGTGGAAAAATTAAGTGAGGCTTCAAATATAGACTCACTTCTGTCAGTGCCTGGGAATTTGTGCCAAGTGGCTGTCTTGCCAATGGGTTTCAGCCCCGGGCAAGTTCGCTATGGAGTCCATGTGACCAAAGAAATTGACAGCAAAACGTTCTTTGGGGTGAAAGGGGTTTACTACCTGGCTTGTTCCCACAGCGGAAGGTCGACCACTAGCGTCTCTGCCTCCACACAGAGCGCTGGGCCCAGCTCTCTGTATAGCGCAATAATACCATATTGCCTAAAGGTGAGTAAGTGGTAGCCTAGCAACAGGCCAGTTACATCATCAGGTGGTTTAAGTTCAGTGAGGATCCTGGCCATAGGAACTCCAACATCCCCACAGTGGTGGTTATGGATTATTTTTTAAAGAAAGTTCTAGAACAGTTCTGATGCCTTTTCTGTGAATTACTGGCAATAGGTTGTGCATTAATTTCGGAAGAGGCTGTGTTTTCCAGGGCAGTGGATTACACACACACACACACACACACACACAACCAGTGAAAGTTTAAAGAGAAAACTTACATGATCAGATCTGTGCTGCGTAAGTAACAGGATAGATTAGAACAGGGCTCAGCAAACTACAGCCGTCTGTTGCTATAAATGACATTTCATATGTTCATTTATGTGTTGTCTCTCTAGCTGTTTTCATGCTACAAAGGCAAAGTTGAGTCACTTTGACGGTGACCGGATGGCCTGCAAAATCTAAAATACCAGCTCTCTGGCCCTTTATAGAAAACATTTACCAACTCCTGGGTTAGAGGATCACAAAACGGGTTAAAGAAGCCACAAACCACAGCAATCATGTACATTATCAGACAGCCATTAAATTAGGCCAGGAAATACCTCAGGTGGGGTCAAAAAACAGAAGAAACCAACATAGTCACCTGTGAGTTCTGTAATATTTTTCCTGGACAAAGTGCACCCAGAGTGGAGTTCACGTGACGTCATGGTAACGTTAGTGAGTCCGGCTCCGGGCAGCGAGCTGTGCCTTTGCTGTCCTTACATCCTGGGAGAGAGAACAGACACCTTGACACCAAGTGGGTGTGCAGCTTGAGCAGAACTTACTGTACTCCAGACAAAAGCATAAAAATAAAGGGGATTTATTTGTCCTAAGCTCTACATTTGACCCAGGAATCGACATCTGACCCTCCGGTCTCCTTGATGAGATGTCTTAGGCACATCAGAGCACCCGCGCTTTAGTAACGACTAAAGAATGATGTCAGGGTGCCCAGGCCAGGGGGCCCCAGCACGGGGATGTGCTGCCCCACCGTCTCTGCACTTGGCTGTCACGTCTGGGTTCGGTCCTTCACCCCTGTCCACAGCTTCTGCATTCCCGCGCTAGATTCATCCCTCTTCAACCTCAGTGTCTTTAAGGGGCCATTGTTTTGTTTGAAAGCCGCAAAGAGCACTAATACTTCACTCTGCCCCGAGGCGTGCTGTCCGGAGCTTCAGGCCTTGGGGTGCTGATGAGAGCAGGTGCAAGATGCTGACAGCACGGAGGACGGCCCCGGAGCCTGCGGAGAGAGCCTGGTTCGCTGAGCGCGTTCGCAGTTCTCATTTAGAACCGACAGTGTTGCAGACACTCTTCCTTGCTGGGGACCTAGTAGCAAAGAAATGAAGTAAATATATATACTTCATGGAGCTGATTTTAATGACATCAGACGTCAGGATGTGTTGTACTGAAGACAGAGGATAATGGTATTGGGACAAAAGAAATAAGATTAGGTAGACCGCACAGAGAAGGACCCGGCAGACTGGTGTGGTCAGTGAATTCCTCCCTGGAAAGGAGCTAAAGGAAGGTGGAAAGGAGGCCGTTACAGTAACTGGGGAAATAAGCCAGAGCAGCTGAAATACCAAGCAAAGGGGGAGCAGAAAGAGTGGCTCATAACTGATAAGAGGACCCCATAGGGTCCTGTAGCCTATTGTACATCACAGTTTTATCTACATCCAGATGTGAGCTTTTGAGTCTTTGGACACAAAGGTCCTGTGGTCTGGCCTGCAACTTGAAAGGTACCTCAGGGTGATGGGTTGACAACAGACTCGAGGAAATCGAGGGCCAAAACCATACCTGCAGCCCGGCTCAGAGATTCGGCGACAACCCGCGTGCTTGCTGGTGGCTCCGGTGAGAGCGTCAGCAGCGGAGAGGTGCGGGACATGACCTAGGTCTGGAAGAAGGTGCCTCAGAATGACGTGCACGTGAGGTGTGAGATGAAGGAATAAGATCGGAAGCCTCAGGGTCAGTGGACGAAGAATTAGATTGTTTTCCTTTAGACTTTACAGCAGGTTAGTTATGCTCAGTAAGGCATGGCGTGTTGTCATTGCCTCCCTTTCCCAGAGCTCCTTCGAGACTAAAAGATGCCTTGGCCAGTGGAGGAGAGAGGCAGGTACCATGTAGGAGAGACGCAGCACCTATTAGCAGCTGATCTGTAGCCTTGTGAGCTGATGCCACCCAGGCGGACCCCTCGACTGGTGTGGTGCCTTCTGCCGTCCCAGGAGTTACTGGAGGCACTGGAGATACAGAAAATCAATTCAATTCCTGTCCAAAATGAAATGTAAAGTGGGTAAATGGATTAACAAACTGTTGTATGGCCATAGAATGGGATATTTTTTGACAATGTAAAGAAGGAAATATTTACTCTTGGAAACATTATATCAACTGAAGAAGCCCAAAGCAAAAGCCTATTGTATGACTCCATTTATATGAAATGTACAGCATAAGTAGATCCGAAGAGACAGAAAGCAGATTTGTGGTTACCAGGAGGCTGAGGGGAATGGATGGTGACTGTTGTGAGTCTGGCGTTTCCACCTGGGGTATGAAAACATTCCAGAACTAGGCAGGGGTAGGAGTTGCAAATTAAGTATGCACAATGCCACTGAGTTGGACACTTTAAAAAAAAAAGGTGATTACCTTTACATTATGTGAATTTCACCTCCATAAAAAGTAAATTAAAAATTGTATCATTCTAGGTAGGGCAGGAAGATGTTAACGGCCAATATATTCTTTCTTACAGAGAACAGAGCGTGGTGCACTAGGAGAGTGGAAGACCTCAGAATCATCACAACTAGTTTGCTCCCCCAGAATAACCAAGGTGGGAAGGGAAATATTAGCAGACAGCCCTGCAAATCGCAAGGGCTGAGCACACTAGTCAGGAAACAATAAGCAGTGAGAACAAAGGCCTTGCAGTGGAGACAGACTGGGCGTGTTCGGGGACCTGAGAGAGGGGCTGGTGGAAGGTGCACCCCGAGGTGGGCAGAAAGCAGAGAGGAAGCCAGACAGACAGGAAGGGCGTGGCCGTGGAGAACGCTCTCTGCCACGGAACAAATACGGATCCACACGCTTGTCATAGAAAATGCTTATACCAAGGTTGACAAGCTCACAAAATAACCTGATAAACGCATTAACGGTGCCACGATGCGGCCGCGTCCTACGGACTCAGTTTGTACCAGGGTCTTGCCAGTTTCAATCGGACTTATCACGTGCCCTCACATCTGTCTTACACGAAACGGGTGTGTGCGCACAGACTCAGGCCAGGGTCTGTGGCTGGCACTTGGGGTAACTCAAGCCCTCACACGGAGGTTTCAGCCCACCATCGCCAAGGCTGTCATCGGCCTTGGTTGTGTGTGTCGGCCTCTGGTTGACAACCAGAGAAGAGAGAGGTCCCCGCAAAGGCTTCAGTAAGGTGACAGTCCGCTAGCCTCCGAAAGTGCCGCCCGAGCAAAGATGGAGAAAACACTTCCGAAGCCCACGCTCCCTGCAGACGGCCCCGCGTGTTCATTCCCACCCCATCTTGCGCTAGTGATCAAAGCCTGGAGAGGCAGGAATGAGAGAAGGGGAGCAAAATGCAGGAGACCAAGGGGGGGGCACGTGTCTACGTCAGGAGGTGCCCCGCAGGCAGCCCAGCGAATCCAGCTACGCCGAGGGGGCAACACGGTGCCCAGGGGCGGGTGCTGATCCGCGCCCTCGGGAGAGCCCAGAAGCCAGGGAGCTCCCAGGAGCCCCACGCTGGATGCCTCTGCGTCTGCCACGGTCGGGCGGGCGGACGGCAGCTCTGATTCACAAAAGGCAGGCAACACGCATCTGAAATAGCACATTCGTAAGCTGGAGGATGACACACAATTCTGGGTGATTCTCTCCCATGGGGTTCAGCACTCAATGCGCAGACAAGCTGGCTGGGGAAGGGAGGCTGGAGCCCCCGTCCGTGTTGTTGGGAACACGTTCCCCGGCTCAGCACGGAATCCAGTCCGGGCGGCACTCACTTTCTAGCTCGCCCACCGGCACAGAGCAGCTTGCGGGGGTTCCCGGCAGGAGAGGAGGCCTACTCGTGGCAGCAGCATAGGTGATGGCGGGTGGGGACGGCGGCGCACGGGCAGGCACGCCCTCGGTTTTGCTCAAGCCGCCGTTCCGACAAAATGTGGCGATCTTCATGCCGGTATCCCCTCGTTATTTCCTCCCGCATTCCGCGCACGCACTTCCTCCCTCCCCCGCAGGTCTCCTGACTTCTAGTCCGGATCGGTCACACCTCACATGTGCCCACGGTGCATCTGCCCTTCACAGCTCAGTTCTCACTTACGCTGTAAGTCATGGTCTATATGTTAGCAAGCGAATTACAGACTCCTTGAAGGTATGGACCGTAAGAGTTGTTTTTTTATCTTTAATTTTCCTGTCGTCTAGCATGGTTGTGGAATTTTAAATGGGATTAAAGTAAATCTTAAATGGAATATAACATGAATTTTCTCTAAGCAAACTCTGGGCTTCCAGAAACAGGTCAGCATTAAAAAAAAAGGTAAGATTTCTCTCGGCACCTGGTCTGTGTCACTTTCTTCAGAGAAGGAATCAACCTCATGTTACACGATAATGAATCTAGCTCATAAATTACCCCATGTACACAGCAGGAAGTGACTCTTTAAAGCACGCTTAATCCTTCCGAAGGGAAGATAGAATCAACGCCCACATTCCCGCCTCCTCTGCTACACTCTTATTTCAGATCTTCATTTTCACTTCTCTCTTTAAAGCTTCTTAATCTGTTCTCATCTAGTCCCTCTAAACCGGTAGCCCACCCCCCTGTTGTGAAATAGCCTCCTCCCCAAACCCACAAGCCCCAGGGCATGGAGGCAAGCAAGCTGCCTGTCACCTATGTCAGCAGGTACAACTGATGTTTGGCACAGCTATTTGCTCCAAGTAAACAACATATTTTCAGTGGCTTAATTAAAGCCTTCTAGGCATGCTGGTCGGGGAAAGGTTTCAGCAATGTACTGTATGTAATTTTGAACAGGACTTGGAAGGTTCATCCCTTAAGTGTTGGTTTAAAAGGATGTCCTAATAGTCCCCTGCCTCGGTGGCCCATATCACACTTTACACCTGCCGCGACCTGCCTTACTCAGATTTTCCGTCATGAATTCACCATGGCCTCACCAACACACCATTATTCATGAATTTGGATCTGCTCTCTAGAATATTTCTCCAATTCCCTCCCAGGTCCCCTGACATGCAGGCACCTGTATTTCCTCCAGTCTGTTTCAAATACAGCCCGTAGCAGATGTACGGAGGCATCCAGACTCCTGGCCGATTTCATGACAGTGATTCACTGTGACGTATGGTTTGCCCTGTAGACACACGGAAGGGAAGAGCCATCTCATTTCTTTGTGTTCTGAGCACCTGGCTGGGCAGAGCCTGCTCAGGTATTCAAACACTGCTCTCACGTTAGAGACACCCAGGGTCACTGTCCCAAGATCAGCTTGCACTAACACCACTTCCTGGAGGTGACAGGTGATAGATTATTTGCTCACAAAGATTCCTCACTGAGGACACTCAGGAAGCTGTGATTCACACCCAGAACGCTCAGGTTCTTTTTTAACCGAATACAGAGCAGAGATGCACCCAGAGATGGAGAGACGGCCTCCCGTGACCTAGGAGGAAGAGATGGAGACAGACGCGGGCCCCTGCAGAACAGCACACGTGCGAGCAGACGTATAACTGGAAGCAACACAGCATGGAAACAGCAACAAGATGAAAACGTGACCTACAGGATGGGAGGAAATGTGTGCAAATCATATCTGATAAGCGGTCAATACCGAAACACATAAAAAACACATACAGCTCAGTAGGAAAAAAAAAACCTGACAAAAAAATGGGAAGAAGATCTGAATAGGCATTTTTCCAAAGAAGACATACAGATGGCCAACAGACACGTGAAAGATGCTCCACATCACTGACCATCAGGGGCTTACACATCAAAGAGGTGCACAATTCCAGTCATCAAATAAATGTGGGGGATAAAGGACAGCAGAGGGCATGTAGTCTGCTACGGAATAGTCTGCTTAAGATACTGGAATATGCCATTATTTTTGTAGCGTAACAGATGGTAACCTTGAGTCCTGGTGAGCATTTAGTAATGTTTATAATTGTCAAGCCACTATGCTGTACACCTCAAACAACATAATATTGTGCATGAACTATATTTCAATAAAAAAAAATCACAATGAAATTGCCTCTCACACCTGTTAGAATAGACGCCATTGATAATGTTCAATTATATTCGCAGAAACCCGTCCTCCACAGACATCTCAAATTACAACCTCTACACACACTTCTCTGTGCCCCCGTGAGCTGGGTATATAAACGCAGGGGATCCAATTGGCCAGGGCCCAGTGAGCCAGGCCGTGGTGATGCCAGTGGGGGGAATCCCGTGGGAAGCAGACCCATGGGTGTGGGGGTGTGGGTGCACGCGCCCGCATGTGTGGTTCTCCCGATGTCTACAAGGCCACATGAGAAGCAAACAGATGAAGAGCCTTGGGTATACGTGTCTACACCGTGGACTTGGGCAAGCGGCGACCAGCATCAAAGAGAGCGTGGGATATGTGAATTGGTCACACATGGACGCATTTCAACAGGTAAAGGGAATCCCCACACAAGCAGAGGCACAAGTTTGCAGCCCAGCCCTCCAGGGCCCACTCTGTTCTAAAGGCATAGAGCCTGAAGGTAACACAGTGAATGAAAATGCCATGTGGACCTGACGCACACCTGCTCACAGACACACATGCACATGCTGACTCCAGGACGCACACCTGCTCACACACGCACATGCATGCACGTGCTAGCTCCTGCCCTCCTTGCTCATGGCACCAGCCTTGAGACAGTAACTCAGGTAAGACCTGGGCGATGCTTACTTCCTTTCCTATCAGCCCCAAAACCACCCACTCACTTTAAATCTGCCATTTTTAGATAACCTCAGTGGAAGCCATCACTACTGCTTCGTGAACTAGTGTTAGATAAGGGCTTGAAGCTTCGGAACGTTGGAGGGCTGGTGAGTGAGCCTGGACACTCGGCCTGCAGGAGCAGCCCTCTGAGTCCCTGGCAGCCAGGTCTGATGTGGGCCAGGCCTGGGCACGTCAGCCGGCTCACTGGGACCTCATTCGCTGCAAGCAGCACCCGCTCCTCCACCCAGCAGCACCATCCCTGAGACCAGAGAGAGCAGTGCCTGCTCCGTATCAAAGCCAGCTTGCATGTCCACATCTGGACAAGGGACCTCACAGGATGGAGGCTGGGGAGAGGCCAGCTCAGCATTTGCTGCCCGTTGGGACTGTCATTGCCGTGCCTCCACAGAAACTGCCGTGGGTCCGGCCTGACCACGACGTGGCGTCAGATGCCAGAAGGCATACGGAAATCAGAGCTGTGGCAGACGGCCACAATGCTTTCTCTTGAGAGTGCGGCATGGCCCAATCTGTCCCTCATCCTATACAGCTTTTCCCTCCAACGCCCCGGCAACATGCATATTGTGACACCAGGACAAGCACCAGCTGCAGCCCCAATGGCTTCATCTGCAGCCTTACCTGCAAACACGACTGTACAAATTCTCATCCCTGAGATAAGGGCCCCTCACAGGGCCGACATTCTGGTGGAATCCTAGCTGCACACGTTCAGATCTACAACAGGATTCCACCGACAGGCGGGGATAGTCGTCCAAACTACCACCATTTCCAGGAGGACGAACTGCAAACCTGGTCAGGGTAACCCGCCTATCTGGAATAAAACTCACGACAGGCGGGCTCTCCATTCTCTCAGGGTTTTTGCAAAGATAGCGCCATGCAGGTATAGTGGGGGAGGCTTTGAATCAACCTTACCTGTTTCTCCAGAATACACGGTGCAGCTATGCGGGGACTTTCATAAAGGTTCATGAGAATGTCTAGGAACTAAAGTGTGACAGCCTCATGTGAGGATCGCAGCGTCGACACCCAGGCGCAGAGTCTGTGCGGCCATCCTGTCAGGTCTACAGAGCAAGACAGGAGGGGGTGCTGATGCAGGCACCCCCCTAGCAAGGGCTCTTTTGGACGACTTACATCCGTGTGACGGTAGCTGCTCAGAGCTCAGAGCCAGCCCATTGCCCCATATTGTATACCCAGATTTAAGAAGCAGGGGCCACATCCCACGTGGTAGCTCAGTGCAGCCTCGATCGGAAACTGTTTCTTCCTTCTTTCTCCATCCGGTGAGTCCCTCACCCCCTGACTCCTATGGAAAGAGTAAAATACTGCTGCAGTTCACCTTACTGGGCATTTAATCATGTATATGATTGATGACCCTAAGCTGTGTGTATCTGAAACCAATAGGATATTATCTATCAACTATATTTCAAGTTAAAATGGATGGAAATGCTTTAAAATAATTTTAACATTCAAAAGACAGATAAATAAAATGCTGGTGTGGGATTGGAAGCAGAAAAGAGGAATCAGACGATCCAGCCCAGCTGTGGTCTGGAGCTCTGACACGGCTTTGCGAGCAGTCGTCACCCCGCCCACCGGGAGGGCGAGGAGGAAGGGGAAGTGGGCCATTTTCGCTGTCACAGTGTGAGTGGGCCCTGCCCGCTTCCTAGAAGGCTGTGCCGCTTGCCAGAGAGATGGCACTGGTTCTTCCCACCCTGCTCTGTCTTGGTGAGCCCTGGAGGGGGGTCGGGGTCCAAACAGGAGGGGGCAGGAGGGCAGGTCGGCAGTCTGCTAGGCTGGCCGCTGCTCACCCGCTGTTCCCTTCTAGGCTTGTCTGCGGCCCAGGGAGCTCAGGCACAGTGGGGCGAGACTTTCAAAACTCCTGAGGTCCCCTCTGCTGGGCCAGGTATCAGCGCCCTTAGCCGGTGGCTGGAAGACGAGGGGTGGCATGGAAGGTCGGCGGAGGGGCAGACACGCCTGTAGCTCCGTGACCTGGCCCTCTCTTCTAGGAAATCTCCCCCAACCTCAAATCACAGCTTGGCCTGGGTCCATGATTCCAGTTAGGCGTCCTGTGACCATCCGGTGCCACACGGATGCAGATGTGGAAATGTTCAGGATTTCTCAAGAAGGATGGCCTGAGCCCTCGGATGGACTGAAAGCACAGGAGTCCGGGGAGGTCAGTCTCACAGAGATCACATCAGACCGCTCAGGGCCATACCGCTGTTCCTACAAGAGCCGTGGCCGCTGGTCCAGGCTCAGCGAGCCTCTGAAGCTGGTGATGACCGGTGAGTGGGCCGCAGGGGCCGCAGAGCCAGAAGCGACCTCGGCCAAGGGAAGAATCAGGTGGTGGAGCTGGGAAGCACAGAGCAGCTGTACCTCTGTCCCCAGTGAGGGATCCAGGATCCCTCAGGACGGGACAAGGATGGTGGGAACTGGAGCCTGGCCTGGGCAGGGGGCCGAGGGGACCTGCAGGGAGGCAGCTGCCCCTGCCACCAACACCTTCCCTCCTCAGGGGCTTTCGACAAGCCCACCCTCTCGTGTGCTCCTGGCACTGTGGTGCCTTCAGGAGACGACATGGAGCTGCGGTGTTTCTCCAAAACCACGTTTGAAATATTTATTCTCACCAAAGAAGGCATTCCCACCACCCAGAACAGAAGTTCCAGCCCCAAGGGCTCCGAAAGCCAGGCCATCTTCCTCCTGAACCGCAGCTCCTCCGCATATAGGGGGACCTACAGATGCTACGGCGCCTTCCACAACCACCCCTACGTGTGGTCTCACCCAAGTGACCCGTTCCAGCTTGTGGTGAAAGGTGAGGAAGCCCTGCCCATCAGCCCGTGTGCCCCGAGATGACGCTATCCCGTGCGGGCAGTGGTTGGGAAGGTGGGTGAGCGGGGAGAAGGCGGGTTGGGGGGAGGGCGGATGGTGGGAGAAGGGGGTTCAGCAGAGGGAAGGCTGGTCAGTGGGAGCAAGGCAGGCAGGGGAGGAAGGCAGGTCAGTGGCAAGAGAGCAGGTCAGCAGGGGGAAGGCGGGTCAGCGGGGGGGAGGCGGTGCCACACTGCCAGCATGGACATGCCACCCTCGGCATAGGGCCATGGAGCTCAGGCATCTGGATAGAAGAAGTCTGAGCATCCCTGTTTCATCCCCATTTGCAGAAGCTCCTGACCGTCCCAATCCCACAAGACCAGGTTGGTCCACGGGTAAGTAACCGAGTTTAGATGGAAGACTTAGGACTTTCCATTTTCTCTTCTCTGACTTGGAGCAGAAGAAGGGCTCTGCACCAGAGACAGAGGCTGTGGGCAGGGAGAGGAGAGACGCGGCAGGTAGGGGTCTGCAGACCACAGATAATGTCCTTGGGACCCACAGAAGCCATTTGCCATCCATCTGTGTTGCCGATACTCCTGAGCTCCCAGGACTGATAACCCCTCACCACTGAGCTCTACCCCCAGAAGGGAGAAGGCTCGGATCAGCTCAGAATCATGGCGGGGGCGGCTCTGGGCTCACCCTGTGCTCTAGGGGCTCTGTACCTACACTGCCCTGACACAGAGAGTATGAGGGTTGCATCTGCAGCCAATTCACTGTGTCCCCCTGCTGATCTTTAGACCGTCTGAGGTTCTGGAGGACATTTCTTGGGGCAGCAGACACGTGAGGACTTTCGTGTCAGACTTTGCTTTGGAGTTGGAGCCCCGAGTCCCAGGGAGATGGGCAACGGGAGGCTGGCTGTGTAAGTCTCGGGCTAGGAGAGGGCAGGCTGGAGACGCGGGTGCGGAATTAATGAGCACCGGGATTGCGGAGGAAGTGGTGGACGTCCCAGGCACTGCGGTGGACGGAAGGGACTCCTCAGGGACGACATGGACCTGCAAAATCTAGGACGGGGATCTGGAAGCCGTGGCCCGAGGGCTATATCCGGCTCCCTGCCCGTTTGGTTAAAAAGGAAATATGAAAGGTTTTTGAGAATCCAGCTGCGTCTGTGTGATACAAAGGCATCCTGTGTCCACAAATGTCCACACAGCCGCTCAGTTCTTAATTCCTGAAATGAGCTCCTCCGTCAGCCTCGCTGTGGTCACACTGTCGCCTCCCCTCCACCGGCTCGGCTCCGACTTGCTCTCCCTCTGCCCCGGCGGGTGGCCAGGGTGTGATGGGCCGGCTGGTAGGTGTTGGGCCTTCGTGGATTCTTGGTCTCTCACCAGTCCTCACTTCTGGCCCTGTAAACAAAAGCAGCCATAGACAATACCCAGCCGTGAGCGAGTGTCATCCACACGCCCACAAAACACCCGGCACAGACACTGAAATGTGGATTCAGGTTGTTGGTACAGGTGGCAAAGTGCTTTTGATCCATGTCTGTGGCTTTAAGGTGTAAACTCCATTCTGAGTTCGTGGCCACAGAACCAGCGTGGCCCAGGGGTGCCCGGGGCCATCACGTGTGGACCCCGTGTGGATGCACATGGGGCCGCGTTTCCAAGTGCTCTTTCGTAGCCATGACGTCATGGGGCAAGCAGATGAGGGGCTCGGAGCCCCTCCCTTGGCTAGGGAGCGGGACCACAGCCCTGTGCTTGGAGAGGAGTGGACGGGGTCTGAGGGGACACACCCCTGGGCAGGGGGCCGAGGGGACCTGCAGGGAGGCAGCTGCCCCTGCCACCAACACCTTCCCTCCTCAGCCTTCCGATGCATTCTCCTTTCTATGTCCTCCTTGTAGCCCTGCCGTCCAACCACACCTCCCAGGAGAGACACCAGAACCTTCTGCCATCCCAGGGGCCACCGTGCTTCTCGTGGTCCTCCTCCTCGTCTTTCTCTTCCTCCTCCGCCAGCGTAAAGCCAAGAACAGCAAGTCCGTGAGATGCAGCAGGTCCCGAGAGGGCTGGCAAGCTTGCCCAGAGCCCCGGGGCCCCGGGGCTGCCGGAATGGGAGGCAGCATTTGCCGGAGGAGAAGGGGAGAGGGAGTGTGGGGCAGGTCTGGGGTTTGCTGGCTGGCCCCGTGTTCTTGATAACGCCCTGCCCCAGGCTCCCACCCAAGTCAGAGGCCAGGGCCGGGATCATCTCCAACAGCCCTGTCTGGAGACGTGGCCACCTCCGTCCTTGTCCGTTCTGGCAGCTGCAACACAACACAGTAGACTGGGGACTTACACAAATAGTGGGCTTCTTCCTCCCATTCTGGAGGCTGGGGGTCCCAGATGGAGGTGCAGGCGTTCCGGTTCCTGGCAAGGGTCCCCTTGCAGATGGCCGCCTTCGTGCGGGGTCCTCACAGTGGGGAGGGAGCCAGAGCTCCGGCCTCAGCCTCAAGGACACTGACCCCGTGGTGAGAACTCCCCTCCTCCACCCTCTAGATGCTGCCCGGAGAGAGAGACAGCCAGAGGCAGCCGCCCCGCTGGGCGGGCAGGTAAGTGTCCTCCCCTGCCCCACCCCCAGCAGCCCCTTGGGGCCCTGTGTACAGCACCGTTTCGTACCCTCCCTTCCTTCCTTAGGCCTCTGAAGCTGCAGGCTCGCAGGACATCACCTACTCCCAGCTGACCCGCAGCACCCCCATCCGGGGGATGGCTGAGACGCCCTCCGCGGTGCCCAGGGAGACCCAGCCCAGCGAGTATGCAACCCTCGCCCTCAGATGAGTCATGCACCGCAGCCCAGCGTCTCATCTGCCCAGCAGGACTTCCAGCTGCCTGTGGGGAGGCCCCCCTCTGCAGCTGCTGTCCCTGAAGTTGAGGTTGAGGGGCCCTGTGTCACTCAGAAGGCCCCACTGCCCCCTGAATCTAGAGACCTCAACATTTTCACTCAGTCAGCTCCAGAACCATGACCATAAAGTGCCCAGCGATGCCTGAGACCTCCAAAGTTATCGGGAGAATGACAGGGTCACACGGCAAAGGTTTCATTATTTGTTGATTAAACAAATATACTTTAAATCCTCATAAGTGTCAGGTTTTATGTTGTAGACTAGGTGCACAGAGAAGATCCTAAAACCATCGTCAAAGAGCTGGCCGCCTAGTACAGGGTCAGCCCAATCTGGCAAGTCACCTGTTTGTGTACAGCCCCTACATTTTGCATTTTTACATTTTTTCGCTTTTTTTTGTTGTTGGCTTTTTTTTCTTAGTGGCAAAGTAAATGGAACATAAATCTACCATCTTAACCATTCTCAAGTGTGAAGTTCCGTGGCATTGAGTACATTTCACATCAGTGTACAACCATCATCTCCACTGTGTTTTGTATGGTTGGAAAAAATCAGAATAGGAATCATATTTTTAACAGCTTTACTGGGGGATAACTGATTTACAAAGAATCGTACATGGTGAATGTGAACAATTTGGTGAGTGAACGCAGGCAAACCCCTCTCCACAATCAAGCAGACAGACATGCCCACAAAGCCCGGAGGATCCCAAACAGGATGAAAGCGTATGAAAGAAAATAGTATTTTCTGACACATGGAAGTTACAGAAAATTCAAATTTCAGTATCCATAAGTAAAGTTTCATTGGAACATGGCCACGCATGTTCATTTACAAAATTACCTGTGAAATAGTTCATTTCATGTCACGATGGCAAGAGTTGTCACAGAGACCAGGTAGCTCAGAGGCTGAAATGTTCACTATTGGGGCCTTGACAGAAAACACCTGCCAACCCCTGGTTGGGTGCAATGGTTCCCAAACTTCAGTCTGAGTCAGAATTGGGCGCAGCAGGGGGGGGGGTGACAGACAGAGGAGGAAGTTAAGGACTGACTCTATGGCTCCTTCACCCAGCCAAGGACACTCTGCAGCCAACAGCATCCCTTACAAAATCCCCAGTTGTTCCAGGCCAGACAATTACGAGACAACCCCTTAAGAGATAAAGGTCTAGCACTGTGATTTTCAAGCTTGGTTGCATATTCAAATCAACTAAAAAATTGTTTTTAATTCTTTTGTGGGTTGAGTTCGTTCGCCTCGGTCCTTGTCCCACCACAACGAAGACCTGAAGGGCAGAGACACAGGAGTGAAGCGGAACATAAGTTTTATTTGAAGGCACTTCAAGGGAGGGGCAGGCCAGAGTCAAGGCGGACAAAGGCAGGGTATTTGCGTCCACGCCTGGGGAAGCGTGGGCTAGAGTCAAGACAGATAAAGGCAGGTGTGCCTGGATGCAGCAGACAGGAAGGAGGAACGGAGGAAGGAAAGGGAAGCTCTTGACCTGCCGCTCCGCACAGGGCAGATCCCCTGAAGCCAGGGTGGCCTGGCGTCCACTGTCCGCTTGGATCTGCACAGCGTGGGGCCTAAGCCCTACCACCCCAGGATTTGGGGGCGCCTCAGAGCACTGGATGGAGTGAGATGATGCTCTGAGAACTTCCCAAAGGCAAAGAAAGGGCACTTTTCAGGCAGGCTACTAAAGAGCATGATCACGAAGCTGCAGTCCTGTCCGGGTCACCCAGGCAGCAGGGACTTGCGAGCCCACCCAGATCAGAGCTCAGCAGCCCCTCCCTACTTATCTGGAGTAGAACAGAGAGAGCAACACACTCAAAGAAAGGGGGGTGTGGGCACCTCAGAGAGGAGGTGCACTTAAGGGTTTAGGGCCTGGGGTTTTATAGGGCCTTTTGGGTAAGCGTCTGTATAAGGCATGATGTACACAGGTGATTCATAATTACCTCGAAGTTTTGTCTTAAGAATAGGGTTATTTAGGTGACTGCGTTGGTTCAGACTTCAGCATTCTTTGTCCACGTAGGTTTATTTACACTTTGGAGGTCTGTCTCCCGCCCTGGTTACAAAGTTATTCCATTAAGGAGCTGGAAGCAGCAGAAGAAACAGCAAATAGGTTAAGTTAAAGAATAAAGTGGCTGGTGTTGGCAAAACTGGACAGCTACATGCAAGAGAATAAAACTGCATTATTGTCTAACCCCATACCCGAAAGTAAACTCAAAATGGACAAAGACCTGAATGTAAGTCGTGAACCCATAAAACTCTTAGAAGAAAACATAGGCAAAAATCTCTTGAATATAAACATGAGCAACTTTTTCCTGAACATATCTCCTCAGTCAAGGGAAACAAAACAAAAAATGAACACATGGGACTACATCAAGCTAAAAAGCTTCTGTACAGCAAAGGACAGCATCAGCAGAACAAAAAGGCACCCTACAGTATGAGATAAAGAACTCAAACACCTCAACACCCAAAAACCAAATAACCCTATTAAAAAATGGGCAGATATGAACAGACAATTCTCCAAAGAAGAAATTCAGGTGGCCAACAGGCACGTGAAAAGATGCTCCACATCACTAATGATCAGGGAAATGCAAATGAAAACCACAATGAGCTGTCACCTCATCCCAGGTAGGATGGTCAGCACAGAAAAGACTAGGAGCAGCAAATGCTGGCGAGCATGTGGAGAAAGGGGACCCCTCCTACACTGCTGGTGGGAATGTAAGCTAGTTCAACCATTGTGGAAAGCAGTATGGAGGTTCCTCAAAAAACTAAAAATAGAAATACCATTCAACCCGGGAATTCCACTCCTAGGAATTTACCCAAAGAAAACAGCTTCTCAGATTCAAGAAGACATATGCACCCCCATGTTTACGGCAGCACTATTTACAATGGCCAAGATATGAAAGCAACCTAAGTGTCCACCAGTAGATGAATGGATAAAGAAAAGGTGGTACATATACACCATAGAATACTATTCGGCCATAAGAAAGAAACAAATCCTACCATTTACAACAACATGGATGGAGCTGGAGGGGTATTATGCTCAGTGAAATAAGTCAGGCAGAGAAAGACAAGTGCCAAATGATTTCCCTCATCTGTGGAGTATAAGAACAAAGCAAAACTGAAGGAACAAAAATAGCAGCCGACTCACACACTCCAAGAAGGGACTAGAGGTTACCAAAGGGGAGGTGTGGGGGAGGGTGGGTGGGGAGGGAAGGAGACGGGGATTGAGGGGTATTATGTTTAGTACACATGGGGGATCACGGGGAGAACAGTGTAGCACAGAGAAGGGAAATAGTGGATCTGTGGCATCTTACTACACTGATGGACAGTGACTGCCTTGGGGTGTGGGGGGGGGACTTGATAATATGGGTTAATGCAGTAACCACGTTTTTTCCTGTGCAACCTTCATTAAGAGTGTATATCAATACCTTAAAAAAAAGAGTCTAAAAAACAAAAAAAATGACTGCCCACCCAGGCAGTACAGGTTACAAAAGATTACAACGAATACCACCAGTTTAGAAAGAAGTAACTTGAAGGGAAGAAATACAAGAGTTGAGCTGAGTCAGTAACAGTTACTCAGCCATCCCTCCTATGAATGGTCTCTGAGACATCACCCCTGTGCATACCCAATTGTATCGTCTCGAGAAAGTCGTTCAGTGGATAAAAAGGGGGCATTTTTCAGGCAGAGAAAGACAAGTGCCAAATGATTTCCCTCATTTGTCAAGTATCACAACAAAGGAAAATTGAAGGAACAAAATAGCAGCAAGACTCAGACTTCAAGAAGGGACTAGCGGTCACCCAAGGGGAGGGTGGGGGAGGGCGGGGGGGGTGGGAGGGAAAAGGGGATTGAGGGGTACTATGTTTAGTGCACATGGTGTGGGGGATCATGGGGAGAACAGTGTAGCACAGAGAAGGGAAATAGTGGATCTGTGGCACCTTACTGCTCTGATGGACAGTGCCTGCCTTGGGGTATGGGGGGGGGGGACCTGATAACATGGGTAAATGTAGTGACCACATTTTTTCATGTGAAACCTTCTTAAGAGTGTGTATCAATAATACCTTAATAAAAAATTTTAAAAAGGGGGGAGCATTTTTATAGTGTGTTTACTGCACTGTCGAGGAGAGAGGGTAAAAGAAGTGCTGTGGAAACCGGGAACTCAGGAGTACAGACTTAATGAGTTAGGAAGCGACATCCCGATCAAGCTCCCATGTGAGGACAGGTCCGCACGGGGCAGGCAGGAGAGGAGCAGAGGCCCAAGGGGCATGGGGGGCAGAGCTTCTGCTCGCACGTCTGTACAGATGTGATTATACAAGGGCAACTAAAATAGCATTCTTTTTAGAAAAGAATTGTTTAAAAAGTAGAATACTACACCGTCTGACTTTTGGAATTATAAGCATGGGAAAAAATGGAAGAGATTTAAAAGGGACAATATGTGATGCTGCATAGAGAAAGATTTTGTCTGTTGCAACGTTTGCTATAAAATTTTTAAAGATTAATATCCCATGAGCTCCACTTCTAAGAATATATTCAGGAGAAACATATAGAGATTTTCCAGGAGATATGGGCAATGTTTTCAGCAGGACTGGGGAAGAAAAACCAAGAAATGCCCATCAAAAATGATGGATGAGTTTATTCTGCACACATACATTCATAGACAATAAAATCTTGCAACCAGTAAAACAAAGTACGGAGACGGGTTCTGAATGCTCATCTCCTGGCTTGGTGGGCAGAGTTTATTTGGGAAGCAAAGCTAGTATGAGATTTTTTTACAAGACAGAGCATTTCAAGGATGCAACCAAGTGAGTTTAAAAAGGAATCTCACTTCATCACGAATTACACAATTTAGTTTTTAAAAAGAAGCTTAAATTTCACATACAAACGTGATAGGGGTAGATCCTTTGTTTTTTGTTAAAAACATAGTGTCCTTTTTGCTGGGCTTCTGTAAATACTTAAACTCATATCCCTCAGTCTCTTAACACAATCTCTTTAATAAAAAAGACACAGCCATCAAGAAAGGAGAGCAGTAAACTCCAGGCACTCACTACTCCCTGGAGATACTAAATTAACAATAATATACACAGAAAAAATTATTTTGGAATCCACATAAACTAGTCCAAAAGCTGCAGCTCTCAAATGACTACCCCCAAAACAGTGAGACAAAAAAGATGTATGGAAGTTCATAACAGTTGGCAGTAAATCAAGTGCTGGTACCCTGAAAAGACTGACAAAATTGAGAAACCCATAGCAAGATTAATGAGAAAACCCAAGAGAATACTCAACGATGCCTAATGGATGATGTAAAAATCAACAACAAACCAACTGTAAACCATTTTTAAATACACATAAAAAGGCCTATACAACATGACCAGAGGGCATATATTCCTGGCAAGCAAAGATCGTTCAACATATGACAATCATTCCATGTAAGATGGTTCAACATATGAAAATCATTCCACGTAATACTCCCTATTAACAGAATGAGTAAAACACCCCTATGATCATTCATTTAAATTCATGAATAAGTCAACAGATAATCTTTTTGATGAAAACCCGCAGTCAACTAAGAACAGAAAAAAAAAAAAAAAACCTTGACATAATAAGCCACACATACAGAGCTTGCAGCTAACGTCATAGTAAATGATGATGGAATGAAAACTTCTCTCTAACAGCAGGAACAAGCCTGTGCTGCCTGCCCTATTTCTAGAAAATGGTACCACGAGTCCTAGCCAGAAGAAACCATCAATACAAAGAAACAAAAGATAACCAACTAGAAAGAGGAGAAGCAAATTATCTCTGTTCACAGCTGACATGACAGAAACAGAGAAAACCCTGAAGATTCAATAGCGAAAAAAAAAAGTGCAGAAAGTATTGGATGAGTTAAAAAATGCTCAAGATATACACACGGAAAAATAAATTGTTTCTATATATCCACAAGGAAATGAAGAAATAATTCCATTTCCAATAGCACTGAAAAGGATAAAACAGTTTGGCATGACCTTAGCCTAAGAACAGAAGAGCTGTACACTGTAAACTGCAAACATGACTGAAAGCAATTAGACACAAATATGCAAACATCCCAAGTTCACGGATGGAAGACTCAAAACTGTCTAGACGTCACACTACCTAAAAAACTGACAGATACAGTGCAACCCCTGCGAAATCCCAACAGCATCTTTTGAAGAAATCCATCCATCCATCTCGATTTGTATGAAATTTCAAGGGCCGCTGAACAGCAAAACATAACCTTGAAAAGAACAAAGTTGGAGTTCTCATACTTCCTTAGTTCCAAACGTATTAAAAAGCTGTATCAAAACAACATGGTACTAGTATGAAGACAAGATACAGAGACAGTGGAACAGAACAGACACATCAGAAACACACTCTTGTACGTGTGGTAAATCGACGTCCCCCAAGGCTGTGAAGGGCACTCAAAGGGGGAAAAACAGGCTATTCCACAAAGGTGCTGTGAACACTGTATATCCACAGGCAAAAGATGAAGCTATAGTATCACCTCACACCATATACAAAAATTAACTCAAAATGTTATCAACTTCCTAGACTGAAGAGCTAACAATATAAAATTCCTGAAGAAAATGGGAAAAGCTTCATGATACTGGACTCAGCAAAGATTTGTCAAATACACAAAGCACAGCCAACAAGGTAAAACCACGTTAAGTGGAACTACATCAAAATCAGAAAGTGTAGCCCGTAAAAGGACACAATCAATAGAGTTAAATAAGGGTAATGTACAGGATGGGAGCAAAATGTTACAAATCATGTGCGGGGTAATATTGAGAACATATAAAGAATGCTGAAACAGTCTGGCCTCTCCACCATGGGCGGGGGGTTCCCACACCAACAAGCAGTGCTCTGGCACCCCCTGGGTGTCCTACAATTCAGCTCAATTTGGACACTATCTGGAGACAGTGTCAGATACGAAAAGTTAGGCAAAGGCTTAGTCGTAAACGGCTGCCCCGGACCCAGGCCACCTTCCAATTTCAATCACATCCAAGTGTCACTCCTGGACTTCTGACCAAATAGCTGTACAGCAGAGGTTGAAATGAACCTCTTCCTTTGGTTCAATTATTTCTCGGAATTCACAGAAACGTTTTACTTACTGAATTACCAGTCCCTCGGAGAAGTCCAGAAAGGCCAGATGAAAGAGACACATAGGGCACAAGAGGGGCAAAGGCTGTGGGGCACCCGCGACCTCTCCCCGCGCAGCCCGCTCCCCGACCTCCAGGTGCGCATCGATGCACAATCTCTCCAAAGGGTCCGTCTGGGTCTTTATGGGGGCTTCAGTGTATAGGCGTAACGAATTAAATCGTTGGCCGCTGTTGACTGGACTCAAGGTCCAGCCTCTCTCTCTCTTCCCAGGAAGTCAGAGGGTGGGACCAGAGGACCCCTGTACCCACAGGGTGACTTCCCTGGCAAGCAGCCCATCATCCTTAGGAGATTTCCAAAAATGCAACTCATTCCCAAACTCAGATGTGTCTGAAAGGGGCTTGTTATGACTAAGACACCCATTTCACCTCGTGACTGAAAGAATTTTAGCAACTAAGGACAGGAGACCAAATATATTAACAAGAGATGTTCCCATTGGTGTTATCATTCAGGAAGTAACACGGGTTTTAGGAGTTTTGAGCAGAAAAGGTGATGGGTACCGAATACATATTTCCGATTATAAATCATAATACCACAGACTCCTACAGCTCAATCAAAATGAACCCCAATGATTCTAATTAAAAGACAAAGGACCTATAGACATTTCTCTACACAGGACTTACAGATGGCAAACCTACATAGGAGAGGACGTTCAGTATCACCAGCCAGCAGAGCAATCTAAAATCAATAGAGTTAAATAAGGGTAATGTACAGGATGGGAGCAAAATGTTACAAATCATGTGCGGGGTAATATTGAGAACATATAAAGAATGCTGAAACAGTCTGGCCTCTCCACCATGGGCGGGGGGTTCCCACACCAACAAGCAGTGCTCTGGCACCCCCTGGGTGTCCTACAATTCAGCTCAATTTGGACACTATCTGGAGACAGTGTCAGATACGAAAAGTTAGGCAAAGGCTTAGTCGTAAACGGCTGCCCCGGACCCAGGCCACCTTCCAATTTCAATCACATCCAAGTGTCACTCCTGGACTTCTGACCAAATAGCTGTACAGCAGAGGTTGAAATGAACCTCTTCCTTTGGTTCAATTATTTCTCGGAATTCACAGAAACGTTTTACTTACTGAATTACCAGTCCCTCGGAGAAGTCCAGAAAGGCCAGATGAAAGAGACACATAGGGCACAAGAGGGGCAAAGGCTGTGGGGCACCCGCGACCTCTCCCCGCGCAGCCCGCTCCCCGACCTCCAGGTGCGCATCGATGCACAATCTCTCCAAAGGGTCCGTCTGGGTCTTTATGGGGGCTTCAGTGTATAGGCGTAACGAATTAAATCGTTGGCCGCTGTTGACTGGACTCAAGGTCCAGCCTCTCTCTCTCTTCCCGGGAAGTCAGAGGGTGGGACCAGAGGACCCCTGTACCCACAGGGTGACTTCCCTGGCAAGCAGCCCATCATCCTTAGGAGATTTCCAAAAATGCAACTCATTCCCAAACTCAGATGTGTCTGAAAGGGGCTTGTTATGACTAAGACACCCATTTCACCTCGTGACTGAAAGAATTTTAGCAACTAAGGACAGGAGACCAAATATATTAACAAGAGATGTTCCCATTGGTGTTATCATTCAGGAAGTAACACGGGTTTTAGGAGTTTTGAGCAGAAAAGGTGATGGGTACCGAATACATATTTCCGATTATAAATCATAATACCACAGACTCCTACAGCTCAATCAAAATGAACCCCAATGATTCTAATTAAAAGACAAAGGACCTATAGACATTTCTCTACACAGGACTTACAGATGGCAAACCTACATAGGAGAGGACGTTCAGTATCACCAGCCAGCAGAGCAATCTAAGTGCTATAGCCACAAGGAAACCTCTCATTTCACACGTATGAGGATGGTCACTATTTAAAAAAAAAAAACAGGAAAGAAACACTGAGGATGTCAAAATATTGGAATTCTTCTTTAATCTGCAAAAGAAAAGTAAAATGCAGCTGCAATCGGAAGCAGTAGAGCAGTTCCTTGAAAACCAAAAATGGAATTTGCATATGCAATTAAGGAAGTACCTGTGGATCCCCCTAAATTCACATGCTGTGATCAAACGTCCAGTCTGGAGGGGGGCCATCTGGGAGGTGAGGAGGGTGAGGATGGAGGCGCCACAGATGGCAGCAGTGCCCGCACAGCGAGGGGGCGGAGCACCAGCCCTCCCTCTCTCGCTCTCGCTCTCTCTCTCTCTGTCCCCCGAGAAGACACGAGGAGTCAGCAGCCCCAGTAAGGAGGAGATGCATCCTCCTCTGACCCTGCTGGCACCCTATCTTGGATTTCCCATACCCAGAATGGTGAGAAACAAATGTGACAAATGTCCTAAGCCACCCAGTTTTCGGTATTTTGCTGTAACATTATGAACTAAGACAGACATTGGTACCGAGGAGTGGGTGCTGCTCTAAGAAATACTGAAAATGTGCAAGCGGCTTTAAACGGGGTCATCGGCCAAGACTGGACGTTTTGAGGTGCATGCTTTCCGGTGAGGCCTATGAAGGCGAAGGCAAAGTCAAATGTGATTCAGGAGATGGCTCAGAGAGGAAAGGAGAGCGGTGTGGAGAAAGCAAAGCAGCCCTCTTCTTAGACAGAATGTATCTCATCATGGATCAAATGGTGGTAATCCGGTAAAGGCCACTCTGATGCACTCACGGAAGGAAGTGAGAAGTACTTTATTGTACAAGGCAGAAAAGGCAAGCCTCGCTGCACAGCGGCAAGGGACCCGGCTGAGTCGTGTTCATGCTCCAGAGTTCTGCAGAAGACAGAGGTTATAAGCACTGAAATGGCATGTTTAGCTGAGGAGATTTCCAAGCCAAGGGTTTTAGTACAGGTTGGTTTCTCCAACTGCTAGT